CGATCGGATGTCTATATCTTATAGCTCCCATAGGAACGATAGGGTGAAATCGGTCAAAATTTGACGTTTTTCAGGATATTTCGCGCAAAATATTAGCTATTCCCATGAAACTTTCCAAATCGTATTTTTTTGTGCGTACCTTCATTAGGGTAAACGCGCGTGCCGATCGGGCGTCTATATCCTATAGCTCCCATAGGAACAATAGGGTGAAAAATTTTAAAATTTTATTTTTTCAATTATAAAATATTTTGTTGTTTATTAATGCATGTTGCTAGTCTAGTCAAGTTTTAATTCGTAAAATCTGCAAGGGTATTAAAACTTTGGCTTGCCGAAGTTAGCTTCCGTCCTCGTTTTACTATCAATTTAAAACACTATTTTATTGCATACTTATCAGCGTTTCTTTTTGGGAAAAAAGGATATTCTTGATGTATCATAGAACAGGTTAATTGATTATAATAATTATTTCTAGTCAAAAGATTTAGCAACTAGTCAACTTACGAATTTTCCTTTAACAGAAAAAAGGCTTGTCTATTTTTGTGACCACTGGTGTTTATCACTGTTACACGCGCCGATGTAAAATCATCCTCGGCTGCTACTGTTGTTGTTTTTGTTGTTGCTGCTGCTGCTGCAGCACATTGTATTCATGCGTGCCCGTGTGTGGGTACGCAAGCTCGTGTGTGTACGTATTGTGGGTGGGGAAGGGGGAGTAAGGGGAGACGAATGCACGAGTTGTTTGCATTTACTCTACGCAAATGAGCGGCATCGGCGTTCCTCGTTCTCTGGCTTTCCTGGAGAGGAAGGGAGGAGAGGGAGAAGAAGGAGCATGCCAAGGAGGGGAAGGAGCTGCTCCCTGCGCACAACTCACTCTCACTTGATGCTGCTGCAATATTTTGTTGTTGCCTGCTTTGAATGACTAAGAGCGTACTTTTGATTTTTTCCTTTTTGGTTTAGGTTGATTTGGAGAATGGGCAAAGGGCTGTTGACGAGTTGGCAACAGCATAAAATACAACGTAAAAATGGCAGAAAAAATATGCACAGAAAAATCACAGCAAACAAATTCACAACGCTAACTGCACTCCCCCGCTCTCCTTCTCCTACTCACTCTATCTCCCTCTTTCGCTCGAGTGGGGTTACTGACATTGCAGCAGCCGGGCAGCGACGTCGACAGCGCCGTTGCTGCGTTTGTACCGTTGCTAAGTGCAATGAGTGCGGGAGGGAGTGACAGGGGGAGAGCGGGCGGAGTAGTACAATGAGTGAGTGCGGAAGAGAGAGAGAGAGGCAGGAGGGAGTAGAAGAGTGAGTAGTGCGAGATTAACTTTCTGCATGGACTTTTCGGCTTGCTCTCTTCTTTGCTCGTGTGTTCTACACTTTTCGTTTCGTTTTCGATTTGGCGCCAAAACAAATGACCGTTAGGGTTCAAGGAACTCTCTTCTAATTACACACTTCCATATCCATAACAAATTTGCACTGAAAGAAAAGCGAATGATCTAGGAGAAGATCAGTTGGATGATTTTTTATCCAAAAAATTATTAAGAAAATAAATAAAAATTTGGATGATGGGTGGTATTTAGTTATTTACTAATTTTGTTGGTAATTTATGTTTTCTCTACTTCCGATTTTGTTTTCTGTGTAACAAATGCTCTACACTATCGCACACACACTCATATCATTGTCGTCTCGTTCGCACGCATGTTTTGCATTCAATTTAGCACGACTGCATTGAGATCGATCAACTAGGCATTAGTATTAGTGTGTGTGTATTTGCATCATAAAACTGAATATGCCAATTAACAACAGCAGCCAACAATAACTAACTAAAACAATAACAGCAAAAACCAAGTGCAATGAGAGCACAAGAAATTGACATGCATGCCAAATGCAGTTGCTGAACCACATCATAAAAAGCAACAATGGCAACAATAAAGACAATGCAGATGGAAATGATGGCAATTGAAACAGCCACACTCACATACACACACACCAATATCAAACACATTACACACACAAATGCATAACAAAAATTGCAGAAATTTTGGCAATGGTGACTACAATAAACAGATAACTGTAATAATGCTCACATTGCATTGCAAGGTTTTGTTTTTCTCCCCAGTTAAATTGCAAGGAAATCCCATTGTTTGGCAATTGAACAGATGTACGTCCCCAGAAAAGTTAATCATCAATGAGGGATAATAATCGTTTATACACTTAAGGACTTTGAAATGTTTAGTAATACATTTTGTAATTTATAAAATGGTTGTTGGCAAGCTTTATTCACTCGTAAGGACCAAAGACTTAAGGTAGTAATATTACAAATCTTTAATGAAAAACGTTATTAATTTTGAAAAATTTAAACCTAAAAGATATTTGCGCTATTAAGAGAGTATAATGCCATTTGTAAATGTTTGTAAAAAATGCCTTTACTTCTGATTTTTTATTTATTTTTATTCCGAGTTAAACAGTTCCTAAAGTTTTTATTTTTGATATTAACATAAATGACTTGAAGAACTACGTAATTAGTGATCTTGAGATTAACATTGCAATGTATACTTAATCCCGGTCATAAAGTACAACTTTCCTATTTCACCGGCTGTCTGAAGCTGGGAATCTCACACGAGATCCGGATTCCGGATTCTCAGCCATCCAAGTTAAGTTAAGAGCGGTGGATATGGCTAGATTTACTTAGGCACGCATCGGTAGCAACATTCCTACCATTTCCCCCCGCCTTACACCGCCTTTCCATCCTCTCTAATGTCGTTTTCTGTGACTGAGCACACAGACACGCAGAACACTCCCACACACGCCCTATGCTGCAACGCATGAACAAATATAGAAGATATGCAGTTATTTACATAAAAGCTTTATAAATATGTGCATAAGCTTGCCACTGTGTTGTGCGGATGTGACAGTGTGTGTGTGTTGGAGGATGGGTGTAGGATGGGGGAGGGGGTAATGGTATGTGCATGTGTCCAACTAATCGCAAACTCAACTCGCTGACGCCACAAGTCGAGTTTTTAGTCCGATCCTGAGGCTGAGCCTTCATGTGAGGCATCATATTCAGCTTACTGCCATTTTGATGGAGAATTTTCTTCGTTATGCTAGAAGCTGACAAGGACACTGAGAGAAATGTTAGAGTATATCGAAGTGTGTAAGTCTTAGCGAAAATAAAGTCACAAATTTAAAATTGGAAAGCTATTTGTATGGGACCTAAATTCATTTTCATAGAGGTACAAATTACTTACATTTATTAAACGTTCTTGAAAATGTTTTAACAACACCAATAATATTTAAACAAAAATTGTATGAAAATATAGAATGGATTTATAACAACGATGATTTGATCTAAACGATCTGTTAATTTGGAATTTGTATTTTCCACAAAACTTAAAATATAATCTATTATATTGCTTTCAGGCAAAAAACCCACATTTAAGAGGAACATTTTTCCTTCATTTTCTTTATTTTTCACAGTGGGCCTTTGCATTTTCCACGCTTGCCCTAACAACTGTACCAGACACCGTGTCTGCCACCTTTCAGCGTCTTCTTCTCGCCTCTGCAACGCCGCCCTTGTGGATTTTTCCTAACAATTGCAAGTCGCTGCTGGCAGCCTAGCAGCCTAGCAACCGAAAGCGCGAAAGCCCTGGCCGCAGTAATGAAAAGCAAAGTTGTGAAAAACGAGCTGGAAAATAAAAAAAAGATGGTTGAGGGGGAGGAAAATAAAGCAATCATTGCACTTGTCCCGCGCAGCAGCAGCAACAACAACAATATGGCCAAGGCTGCAGGTTTTTCCTTTTTTTTTTTATTCATTCCTGGTTGCTACGTTGCTTCAATTTAGCTTCGTTTTCACTGTGTTTGTGTGTGTTGCACGGTATAGTACTAGTACTAGTACCAGTACCTGTGTATGGGTTTAAGAGCTCGCCCACAATGGGCGTGGCAGTCATTTCCCGCAATTACGCCTACACACAAGCGACCTGAGTTGGGGGCTATGATGGGATATATAGCGATGTAGAGAGATGGATGCGGATTGTGGATGGGAAATGGAGAAGTTGCTCCTGCGATAAGCCGTATTTGCAGCAGCTGCCAGTCCATCGAGATGTGGCAACTCTGGTTAACGGTATATATCATGCCCAGAAGTATGCAACACTTTTGTCAGCCGTCGACGTCTGATGAATTGAGAGCAAAAATGGGCTGAGTAAATAAATTGGAAATAAGATGAAAAGGTTAAATTTATTGAATTTTAAGTTCAAATTTGTAATAATATTTACCACTAATTTCTACATAAAAAGAAATAAAGACCGTAAAGAAGTTATTAAACACCAAAATGCAAATAACCTCTATCCTTTACCTTGCAATTTACTGAATGAAACGTAATATCCTCATTCAATCGTAATGAGATGATTAAGTTTCTTCGGAAATACTCGTTGCTATGGGAATGTGTAAGCCATCCAGAGCTTAACCCTGCACGCAGCTACCTTTAACCCTTTAGAAACTCGAGGCTGCTGCAGTTGCCTCCACAATTGGGCCTCTTTCGTTGTGTGTATTTGTGGTTGCCGGATGATTTTGACTTTTTGTGCAACTGTACGTCAGTCTGTCTGTGTGGCTTTGGCTTAAAAATGTTTCAAGTGTCATTTATATTTCATTTTTACCCTTTTTTTGTGTTGAATGCCGCCTAGAGCCACGCCCAACACCCACAGGCCAGCCCAGACCACTGGACGTCTGTGCAAATTAAAATGTTTCCGTTGTCGTTGTCGTTGTCGCAAATTCCCACACAGACAGAGAGACAGACAGACAGACCCATAGTTGGGCGAGATTGAATTTTATGGCCTGACGTCGGGCGCCGGAGTTTCTGCGAGTCCTGCGGATCGTGGCAGGATGTCAGGGTTGTCCGGATGCGGATTACACTAATTATGAAATGACATCGACAACGATGGCGTCGTTGATTTTAATGGTTTTCTGTTGTCAACTTAATTAACAAATTTTCTCGCCTTTCGCTTCGATTGCAGGAAGGATGCTGCTGATGTCACCGTTGCCGTTGCACTAGCAACACCAGCCAGTCGAAGGATATAAACTGATAAAAAAAAAGAAATCAACCCAAACTCTCCTCTTCCCCGCAAACAAGCCACACACATGTTGCTGCCACAACTAAGATGCTCAGCGCTGCCAATGCAACTGCAACAGCAACACATGGAGGAGCAGCAGCAGCAGCCGCGATTGCCGCAGCCGAGACTTATGTCATAACAAACAAGCAACAGCAACAACAGCAACAACAACAGCAGCAGCAACAAGTCTTTGTTGTTGCCGCCAACAAAATGGTGATACCAGCAACGGGAGCAACAATCGCCGGTATACCAACAGCAACAACAACAGCTGCCGCCGAGTCAACAGCAACGCAGCAACATCAACAGCAGCAGCAGCAACATATGCAACACCAGCAACATGTGCTGTTCCAGCCGCACCTACAAGCAACAACAACAACAACAACAGCAGCAACCAGCACACCTCAGCAACAGCAACCACCTCAGCCGCGGCAGCATCCCAAGAAGCGAAAGTTCGATCCAGCCGAGCTGGACAAGACCGAGCAGCATCCCCAGCAGCAGCATCCTCAGCAGCAGCAGCAACTGAGTCTGCAGCAGAAGCAGCAGAAACCCGCCGATACGAATGGCAACAGCGATGGCCATCAGCTGCATCGCATGATCGTGAGTTGCGGTGCAGGCGCCGGCAACAACAACAGTAGCAACAGCAGCAGTAGCAGTAACAGTAACAGCAACAGCGATATCAAGCAGCAACATGCGAGCGGTAGTACTTACAAGCAACATGTTGCCAGCGGCAACAATAGTCACGCAGCCACAATCAATCATCAACGCACACACACGCCCACAACCGCCGTCTACTATCCACAGCAGCAGCAGCAACAGCAACAACGTTTTAGCTTTAACTCAAACAATCAGCAACATGTACAGGAACAACACCAGCAGCAACAGTCGCAACAGCAACACCAGCAGCAATCCCTGCTCGATCTCAGCGAGTGGAACAACACGCGTGTCCTAGCCAAAATCCACAATCACTATGCTCCAGGGATAATACGCCAAGTGCAGGAGGCGTCTCCCGACTCAATACTCGTGGAATTCGATTCCACCGATTTGGGATTGCTGTTGTATCCGGACGTGTTGCACCAGGGCCGCAATCATGTGATACTCGATGCCAGCCCGCCCATGGCGGATGTAAGTAGTGAGACTATTTTTTTTGTGGCCAATCATTCTAAAGGAGTTTTCTCTTCTCCCCCCGATTAGATTACCCTGGATGCCCGTGTCTGTGTGCGCCAGCGGGTGGAAGGTCGCGGCTCCGGCAGCTTCGTCTACGTGGAGGGCATTATTACGGACATCAACCAGGCCACGAAGCAATATAGCGTGCAACTGATTGGCGACGAGATGGTGAGGCCATTGAGCTAGCTTAAATAAAAAAAAATATTTTTAATTTAAGGGCTAGTACTCAACCCAACAAAAAGTCGTCCAAAACAAAAACTTCATATGAAAACAGCGTCAAGAATTTTTTTTCATATGAAATTTTTTATTTTGGACGACTTTTTGTTGGATTGAGTACTAGCCCTTAAAAGTAATATTTTGTTTGTCCAAAGTTACCCGAAATTAAGTGTTTTTTTTGTAAAGGAACTTTTGAAAAATGTAGATTTTCTGGGCTAAATTAAATACTTGCCAGAAACTAGAGAAACTTTAATCAGAATTATATTTTATGTGCAATTACATCGAATTTAATGATCTGATGTCTTTAAAGAACATATCCTTAAAATATTTTACTTTGAAAAAATCTTCAAAATAAATTTTTAAAATTCTTTTAAGTTACAAATAATAATAATAATATTCATTTTATATCATACCAACTCACAAAGTTTGTGACACAAACCTAGTAAATTCTTAACTAAAACAATTTATTTAAGAAAGTATTACTTTTCATAGAGCACATTTTAAAGTTCACTAGTATCTTACAACAGTATTCAAGATTTCTTAAAATATATTAAATAATTTTTTATTGGTTTTAATCTGTTTTTAATAATATTACCTACGCTTTTCAGGCCACCACCAAAGTAGTCCGTCGCGCCGATCTGCGGCTCCTGCAGCCGCCGTGGTGGGATGAGCTCAACGAACTGACGCCTTCGGGTGGAGCCAGTGCCCCCGCATCCAGTGCCAAGCGAAAGGTGTCGGCGGGAGGATCAGGAGCAGCGCCTGGCGAAGCAATGGCTGTGCCCAGTGGCAATATCGTTTACCCCAAGGCGGCCACCGGTGCGCCATTGACCTTCGTGGCCACCCGCTATGACGGCAAGCTGCCCACGGCGCCACCCACGCCCACCCACCAACAGCACCTGGTGAAACAAGAAGAGTATTATCGGACGACGGCCACGTCGCCCTTCCAGACGCGACCCCAATTCGCCGGCCCCTCCCACGGATCGGAGCAGGTGGCCCAGGCGGCGCAGTCGCACCCCCAGCAGACCAACGGCCTGCCGGACATCGTGATCTCCCCGGGCAGCAATGGGCAGCACCTCAAGATGCAGCAACAGCAGCAGCAGCAGTCGTCGCGGGGCTACGACGACTACGACTCGGACGACGAACTCAAAAGGGTCGGCATCGGATACTCACCAGCGGCCGGCGACCTGGACACGGAGAAGATGAGCGCCTGCAGCAAGCGAAGCAGCATGCAGAGCCGCGGCAGCACGTCCAGTCTTCTCGACCAGAGGCTCACACCACGATCTCATCCAGCAACACCAAGGTGAGAAAGAAATCCTCAAGAAATGAGGATAAACTAATTAGGGAATTTTTGTAACTTATATAGAGTCACTCACTTCATTGATTTACTAGTCATTTTAGCCAGTTTGTTATAACTTCTCCCCTATCCTTTACCGCTTGCTAATAAACCGGCAGTGCCATTCACAGATCTCAGGCCACCACGCCGCACCGCTTCAAGAAGGGAGACATCGTGGAGTCGGAGTCCGGCGTGCGCAAGAAGTACAACGGGAAGCAGTGGCGTCGCCTGTGCATGCTCTGCACCAAGGAATCTCAGCGGCGCGGCTTCTGCTCGCGGCACCTCAACCAGAAGGGCAACAACAGCGCCCTGCCCTCGTCGACGGGTCCGGGTCGTCTGCTCAGGTAAGATATCCATTTAACCTACCTAATAGGTATCAAGGTCACCTGATCTTGTACTAAAAGAAATGTGATGTTAGTTAAAATTAATAACAATATGTGTTTGATAAAGAGCTTTATCAAAAGTAATTACAAACAATTGGCTAATCGACATACAAATGTATTTAGATTTCAAAAACTCATGTTATAAGCCAAATAGAGCTCATTTAAGGCTAGTACTCAACCCAACAAAAAGTCGTCCAAAACAAAAACTTCAGATGAAACAAAATTTTTTGACGTTTATTTTCATATGAAGTTTTTTGTTTTGGACGACTTTTTGTTGGGTTGAGTACTACCCCTTAATTGTTAATTGTACATAGAGAGCTATTCTTATAAAAGTACATATTAGTACAAATGTTATACTAATTTTGAAACTATAAGTTTTAAATCTACAGTCAGACGATAACGAAAAAATTAATTCGTTTTAAATTTTATAGCACGATCTCCGAAATACCTTAGTCATCCAAGTTTAAAATCATAATACTTAGGCCCGTTTTCTCGTCCGTCTGTTAAATTTAAAGTAGGGTTAAAACCTTGAAATCGTATGGGAAATCAGAGATTTAACCCTACTTTAAATTTACTGGGCGGACGAGAAAACGGGCCTTAATGACTTAACCCTAAGTGACACAGTAATTTTTATAGAAGAGGCTAACAAATTTTGAATAAAATTTAAAGGATATGTTTAATATATATATTTATTGTTTTTATGATTATCAGTTAACCATATATAACCTATCCCATTTAATAGTGACAGCCGATCGAGCAGCAAGACGCAGATCGATGAGGACACCTCTCGCGACTCGGAGACGTCGCCCAACTATCGGGTCAAAGGTCGCTACGATCAGGAGGAGACCGATGCGGCCGTCATGCTGGGTAAGTCTCTATGAAGATGCTGTGCCACACCATCACACCTCTTGACTCTTTACGATCCAGCAGAGGGCATCATAAAAGCATTTAAAATTCCGTTTTCGAACTCGGGCTCAAACAATTTATTCATAGTTTGTAGCAATTCATTTCAAGGCTGGCCTTCCCAGCCCCTCGTGCCGTCCCTTTCCGACCTGCGCAGCGCCGGCTTAACCGTTAATCTGTATCCCGCTTCACGCAATTAGAGAGACAAGGCCAGCAGGCAAAGATATTCTTCACGGCGCTTCTGGAAAAATTTCTTTGATTTCTTTGGTTCGGGGCAGGAGAACTTTTGAACGCCCTACGCAGCGCATGGAATCTGTTCTCCAATCCCCTTTAACAGAGGTCCCCCCATTAAAGTATTCCTTTGGAATGCTGACAACACGAAGGTCTTTCATTCAGTGCAGAACCGGATTTCTTAGGCACTGAAAAAAGTCTTCGTTAAAAGACCATAAAAAGCAGGCCTAAAATAAAGGGCTTGTCAAGCTCCTTTTGAACATTAAATTCGGTACAATAAAGAGTTTTATTTGAGCGATGCGTAAAGGTTTTATGATTCAAAATAAATATTTTTTTCTTAGGGCGAGGGTCTTAAACAGATAATATAATCGATATTAATTTAATATTTGATTGCGTACCTTTAGATTTTCAAGGACAAATCGTGCGGTTTTAGGGCCGTTTGTATTACGCGATTTAAAAGGGATATAATATATATTTATAATATTTCAATAGTTGAATGTTTTTATTGACAACAAAGTTTTTAAGCTGAATAACTAAAATAACAACTATAAAGTTGTGGATAACGTAAAAGGTTGAATTGTTGGTAATTTGGAAAAGGTTAGCGCTCTTGGCCGAGTCGTGACGACCGAGACCTTTCTCATCTCTTGTTTTCTGGTTCGATGCATTTCCAATTCACCATAAAATGCATATCATAAAGTTTTATTGTGGCAGCGCCGTAGTTCTTTCTTTTTCCCTCTACCTCTCCCTACCAACCTCCCGACCCCTGTCCATTTTTCACACACCTCAACAAAGGTCGTTTGTCCGTCCCTCCGCCGCCTGTCCGCCGCTTTTCATGAAAGGTGTCGCTGCTGCGGCGCAAAGGTCGTGTCCGATTCCAAATTTGATCCCAAAAACGAATCAAGGGTTCCATTGTCCGCCGGAGAGAGCGAGAGATCTGCCCTCCCGCTCCCACTCCCACCCGCTGGCCACTTGAGAGTGTGACCGCAGCGTGATTTACACGCCAGACGCACCGACTGCGCAGCAGCAGCGGCGGAGGGAGATGCTTTGACAGTGACGTACGCAGGATTTTGTTAGGGGGCTTCAAAACAAAATTGTATTTTGTTAAATGTTCATTTGTTTTATTTTGTTTTTTAAGATGGAAGTGTTTTTTTCCAGTGTGTTTTTCCAAGCTATCACGGTACAGTTTGGTTTAATCTTCAAAAATATAAATCAGTCTACTTCCACACGAAAATGAACCAAATTCTCATACTTTTATAGGATTTACTTTAACAAACCGAAAAAAGGGGCCTAAATTATTAAAACCTATAGGAAAGAAACTTATGTTAAACTGATATAACAAAAGATTTAGGGTTTTAAAATCAATCGAATATTTATACTTTTAAGTTTTAACATTGATATTTTTTAACTCTACAAATCTTTGCTACACTGTCTTATTTATCACAAACCCATCAAGCTCTTCTTAAAATTTAAGAGGTTTGCATTAAATAGTCTTGAACTAAATTCTCGTACTTTTATAGGATTTTTTTAAACAAACCGAAAAAATGTGGTTCTTAAGATGGTCTTTAGTTATAGGTAAAAACTCTTATTAAACTGAAACTACAAAAGATTTAGGTTCTTAAAATCTATTGAATATTTATGCTTTTAAGTATCAACATTGTTTTATTTTCTAAAACTCTATAAGTCTCTGCTACACTGTCTTGTTTTTCTTGAACCTTTTAAACTCTTCTAAAAATTTACGTGTAGTGCGTTTAATATTCTTGGGGGATAGATAAATATGGTGGCCCCTTAAAGGAAATACCTTATAGATCTTTATGAGGGCCCCTGACTCCCCAGGAACCTTACATATTTTAGCCCCCCTTTCCACACCACTGTGCCTACGCATTCCTAAGCACCTGCAGAAGGTAAAAGACGTCGCGATCGCAGCAGCAGAGCCACTTGAGACGAAACAAAGCGAGGGCAGCGACGCCGGCGTCGGCAGAGGCTGCGTGCGAAGCGCAACAGATTCTTTTCTTTTATTCAGCTCTTTTCTTGTTATTTGCCCTGCCTTTGATTCGTTTTTACCTAAACAAAAAATGCACTTGAGAGCGGCCATACACGCACACACACACTCGCTCGTGCTGCACACCTACACGACAGGTAAACAAACATGGCAGCGCCGGAGAGAGAGGGAGAGAGTGGAGGAGAGGGAAAGAGAGTAAGAGCGGCGCTCGATCTCGATTTATGCTGCTGACGTCGCTGCCCGCTGCCCTTGGAAAGAACGTCGCCGAAGAATCGACGGCGATCGCCTCGCCGCATTTATGCTGAAAAGTGGGAACTGTCAAGAGCACGAGAAAAGTGAAGAACCAAGAGCAAGCAACGGAAAAAGCAAAGCGATGCGAATGCAGCGGACAAAGCGAACCAAGTGACAACACACTACACACTGCAGAACAGAACAGAAAAGTGTATTTTAAGCAGCGGAGATTTCCGTGGAAATATGCTCGAGAGGAGCGAGCAGCGAGGACGTCATGAATGCGTTCCAGGACTTTGAGCTGGGGGCCAAATTGTATTTGCAGTGCTTATGTAATGCCAAAAAAACGAGAGAGAAAAATGTTTAATTTAAAGCAAGGTTTATAGAAGGCAAGAAGTTAATATTCTGTACTTTCTTTCCATATATTTTCCAGTATCGCTGAGCAGCTCGCGATCTGCCACGCCCTCGTACACCTCGCCTGTGAACCACGCCGGAGCCTCGCCGCTCAATGCCATTGCCCATTCGCCGGTTAATGTGTCCGCCACTCACAGGCAGAACTTTTTCACGCCCATCGCCAACCAGTCGCAGCAGCAACAACAACAGCCTGTGGCCGTACCGCTCGACTCCAAGTGGAAAACAACACCCAGTCCGGTGCTCTACAATGCCAACAACAACAGCAGCAGCAACAGTAACAACAACAACAATGGCTGGGAGCCGAGCAGCAGCAGCAACAACAATACTCATGTTGCAGCCACGGCAGCAACATCAACCCCACTGCCGCCGCAAACAACGCCCGTTTCGCTGGTGATGCATGCCCCACCGCCGCAGCACCACCAACTGCAGCACCACCACCACCAACCGCCTCCGCCGCCACCTGCCAGTTTGCCAGCCCCATCGGCACCACCCACCAGCAACAACAGTGTGGGTCATGCCACCAGCGTTATACGCATTTCCAGCAGCCAACAGCAACATCAGCAGCAGCAGCAACAGCAGCACCAGCAACATCCACATGTGGTGGTGTCCGGCGGTCAGACCTTTCATCCCGTGATTGTGGACGCCACTCAGCTGACTGTGCCCCTGCCGCCCACAACGGTTTCATTTCATCAGCCCAACACGCCCACCTCAACGGCGGCCACAGTGGCGTCCATGGGTCAGGAGAAGATGCTGCCAAAAAACGGTGGGTTAAACAAGAATCCCTGTGATCTGTATAAAAAGATAAACTTATATTTTACACCCAAAAAAATAGTCAAAGAAACGAAACTATTGAGTGTCAAATTTGAATCAATCAGATGAGTATATTAAATGAAAACTCTTAAAAGTATTAAATTGAAACTTTCGGTGTAGAAATGAAACTACAAAATATTAAGTTTATACTATTTCCTATGAAATTAATACTAATGAGTATAGAATTTATACTATTTAGTATTAGTAGGTAATGTTTGATTTTAATTAAACCATATTTTACATTTTCTCCTTCCTTTTTTACAGGCTACAATGCGCCCTGGTTCAAGCTGCTGCCCCACATGACGCCCATGAGCAAGGCGCCACCAGCTCCGGCCACTCCAACCTTGACCACTTCGGCCAGCAGTTACAACGTGGTAATGATGCAACAACAGCAGCAGCAACATCAGCAGCAGCAGCAACAACTGCAGCAACAGCAACAGTCGCCGCCCCAAATGCCGCTGAACCACAACAACAACCATCTGATTGTGCCCGCTCCACTCTGTTCCCCCGGCAAGCCGCTCAACTGCTCCATGAACGATGCCAAGGTAGCGGCAGCAGCAGCAGCGGCCGCAGTGGCCAACCAGAGGCAACAGCAGCAGCAGGAGGAGGCGGACGATCAGCTGGACGATGATGTCTTCGAGGCCACGACGCCCGGGATAGGAAACAACAGCAAGAAAACGGCAGCCATGCGCCTGCCCACGCACAACAGCAACATACGCAAGCTGGAGGAGTGTCATGATGCGAGCGATGGAGTAGCCGGTGCACCAGCCACCTCGGCAGCCAAGCGGAGGAGTCAATCGTTAAGCGCCCTGCAGCAGCAGCAGCAACAACAGCAGCAGCAGCAACAAGCGGGAGCGGCAGGAGCAGCAGCTGGGCAGACGGCGAACAAGAAGATCAGGCGACCCATGAACGCCTTCATGATCTTTTCGAAGAAGCACCGCAAGATGGTGCACAAGAAGCATCCGAATCAGGACAACCGAACGGTTAGCAAGATCCTGGGCGAGTGGTGGTACGCTTTGAAGCCAGAGCAGAAGGCGCAGTACCATGAGCTGGCCAGCTCCGTGAAGGATGCACACTTTAAGCTGCATCCGGAGTGGAAGTGGTGCTCAAAGGATCGTCGCAAGTCGTCCACTTCGACGGCCACGCCGGGTGGAAAGGGAGGAGGAGCAGCCGACGCCAAGCAGCGACTGGTCTCAGTGGACGGCTCCGATTCCCTGGAACACGACATGTGCCCCTCAACGCCGGGAGGCAGCGGCAGCCAGGGCATCACCTCTGATCTTCAGGGCGACATTATACCGCTGACGATCGACAACTATAATAGCACCTGCGACGAGGCGCCAACTACGATCTCGATGAAGGGCAGCGGCAGCGGCAACGGCAAGCTGATGAAGAACGAGCTGCCCTCCGACGAAGACGAGCAGATGCTGGTGGTGGAGGAGGTGGAGCAGACGCAACAGCCAGCAAAGAAGATCGACCTGCATTGCCGCGAGCGAGTGAATGACTCGGACATGGACGACGCACCCTTTGACTACCGCAAGCAGCAGCCAGAGGCGAATCAGGTGAATACATCATACTTAGACTCGTTTCCTAAACAGCGTAATTTAACAAAGGTTCAAAATTTAACATTAACATTAATTTATGCTAATAACATGAAAAAATGTTTTTTACAGTGTGAGCAAAGTTGTTGACATGTGTGTCAAATACAAAAGTGCTTATTGCTTACTGATTTCATTGGTACTTAGTTTAAAACGGCCTATCTTGTCGCTGAACAAAATATTCTTTTTTTAAAGTAGGACATTTTTTACCCCTCAACATTTTTTAATTCATTAGATATTTGGAAAAATTGTCCGTAACCAAAAACATATAAATTTTGTATAAAATAGACACATTATATTAGTAACGGTAGGCAGAATCAATTTACACGCTGTGTAAAAAACTCGTCGTGTTAATAACACGTTGTGTAAATAACACAGATGACATGTGTGTGTTATTTATGTTTCTAAGCACATGTCAATAACTTTTTTTGAACTTAACACTTTAGGGCTAGTACTCAACCCAACAAAAATTAGTCCAAAACAAAAAACCTCATATGAAAAAAACGTCAAGAAATTTTGTTTCATATGAAGTTTTTTGTTTTGGACGACTTTTTGTTTGGTTGAATTCTACCCATTAACATTTAACATGTTAATTACACAAGTTATTTACAGTGTGTGTTATTTTCCGAACTCTGAATTTAACTAATGTTTTTACTATATTTTAGCGTTCGGCGGAGGACCACAATACACAAACCGGTGCCAATGGCCAGGCCATGAACGCACCGCCGCTCAGCGGAGGAGAGCGCGAGATCACACTGAAACCCAAGGCAATCAAGGCCCATCCGGTGCTGGAGAGCAACATGCCATACACCCAAATGTCCATCTACACGCAGTACACTAGTCCCAAGAATCCAATCGGTGTAACACCATTCCAACCCACAGGCGAGCAAACCCCTGCTAATTTACGTCACAACATTCCATGCTAATCGAGGGATTCCCCTTCAATTTTGATCCTCAGGCGGCGCCTTCAAGTCGATGCCCATTAGCCCCAAGGGCAGTGGTGGCAAGCCAGAGGACGCTGCCTCCCTGCAGCCACATATCAAGCAGGAGGACATCAAGCAGGAGCCGCCATCGCCGTACAAGCTGAACGGTGGCTCCGGATCAGCCGCCTCCGGTGGGGGCGTGGTCAGTGCTCCGCCGCCCAGCAGCGGCAGCGTCGGTGCCATCTTCAACTTTAATGTGCCAACGGCGACGGCTTTGAGTCAGAAGCAGTTCCACTACCCCATGCACCATCCCCATCGCAGTCCCACGGATCTTAGAGGTGAGTTTGAATGGAACGTTGAACATACATATAAGAAGATCGAGAAGATAGAATTTAAACTACAGGCTGTTTTAGGACTTTAAGACAGTTAATTTATCTTTGTAATATAATACACATATTTTAAAACACTTGATAATTATTTTAGAACTGTCTTAAAGGACGAAAATAACCTGCCATAGATTCTAAAATGTATTCTTTTATTTTGTAATTTCATATTTTCAAGATAAAATGGAAACTACAGGCTGTTTTAGAACTTTAAGACAGTTGTAAAAATTATAAACCTCTCTTAAATAATTAAAATTGTTCTTGTATTATAATACAGATATCTTAAAACACTTGATCACTATTTTAGAACTGTCTTAAAGGACCAAAATAACCTGCTATGAATTCTAAAATGTATTCTTTTATTTTATTATCATATTTATTGATTTTAACCTTATTTAGTGTTAGCTAGAATTGGCATTATTTCTACTATGATTTGTTGGCGTCATATGATTTTATTTACGTAGCGTTTTGAGTTGTATTTTGGTGCCAAAAACCGAATTGGCGACAGACAAAATTGGAACAATCCCAGCACTTGCATCGATCGCCTCACTCCCGATCCCCACTTATCATTTAACATTCGCAAGCTCATCAGCAAAGTTTTTTCAACGAAAGCTTTCTTCATAACATAACATCTTTCTCTCTGTTTCTCTCACTTTCTCTCTCTCACACAATTAACACACACACCCCACTATTGATCTTCCTTTGTCGCGCTGTCATTTTCGCTGTCACCATCTCACCCCATAACAAAATCAATCAATCGATTGTAGAAGATGAGCCAAATGGGAAAGATAATAGAAAGGGCGGCAAGTCGGGGGAGAATAACGATAAGAATAATCCGGAACCGGAGGAAGAACAGGTTGATGAGGATGTGGACGATGATGAGGATGAGGATGACGATGAAGATGACGACGACGAGGATGATGAGCAGTTCATGCAGGAGCTGGCCAGTGTTAATGCCGGCTTCGATGACCTTGCCCCCTATGCGATGCCCAAAACCGTCATTACGCCCACTCCCACGCCACCGCCAGTTGCCACCACCATTGTGACTCCCATCAAGCGCAAGCAGTTCACCATAGTGCGATCCTTGACGCCGCTGCAGCCCTCGAACTCGCCGCACCAGCAGCTGAAGCATCTGCACCAGCGTCGCGGGGAAACGCCGCCAACGGTCATCACCCGCGTGCCCACACCCACCATCAATCACTTCACCATCATACGAACGCAATCTCATCCACATGTCCATCCTCACAACACTCCGCCGCCGTTGTTTTTCAAGCAAAAGGTTCAGGGATCACCAGTGATTGCCACGGTCACATCCACATCCGCATCATCTTCATCATCCAACAACTCAGTCAGTAACAACGAAGCCCCTAATAAATTTTCCAATTTTCCAATACAACACCAACCAACAACCACAACAACAATAACATGCAATACTAACAACAATGCCACGCCAATCATACGAAAATTGCTAACGCTGCAAGAAGGAGGCGAGCTCGTCGGAAGCCACAAGGGCACAGGACGAGCGGCGATCCTTTATGATGCCTTGGTCCTGGACACGTTGCACGGCCAGGATGAAGAGGACGAGGATGATGAAGGGGAAGGCGAAAGGCAAAAGTCGGAATCGAAGGTGCCAGGTGGCAAGGAGCAGATGACCCAGCCTGCGACAATGCTGCTGATCACCGATGTCAACGCGTACAACCAGCAACATGTTGCTGGTGGCACGGCAGCAACACCCGTTTCGGGAGCAGCCACCCTTCGACCCGTGTCCTTTATCAGCATCAATGCCTGTAATAAGATCACTTTGCCAGCCAATGCTCGCATCCTGACGGCGGCCACAGCAACATCCACGTCAGGCGGAGCTACGGTTACCAGTCAGGCGGGAGCAACTCTTACCGTGCTTACGAAGGCGTCCGCAAATCATAGTAGTAGTAATGCCAACGAACTAACCATAACAGCAGCAACCTCAGCTGCTCCCGTGGCCACCAGTGGCTCCTCCAGCATTGTCATGATTAACTCGACCACAACTCAACCCTCCTCATCCTCCAATTCCACCTCTTGTTCCGCAGCTGCCCACCAGGCGTGTGTGCCATCGTCGCCGGCGGGCATGGGATTGGGTCATGCGGCCAACATTGCCACGCCCCCGGCATCGGCCCCCGCCCAGATCATGGGAGGTGGACCGGGGCAAGGCCAGAAGATGTTCTTCGCCATGAGCAATCCGGTGAGTAGAATGAAGCCTTATATGCAGGGTTTGGAATTTGACACACATGTTAAAAACATGAAAAATTGTATTTTACAGTTGTTGACATGTGTGTCAAAAACTCATTGTGTTAAAAATACGCTGTGTAAAAAACACGTCGTGTTAATAACACGTGTATATAACACAAATAATATGTGTGTGTTTTTTATGTTTCTACAATTTTTAACACACATGTCAATAACTTTTTTTGAACCTAACACTTTAACATTTAACATGTTAATAACACAAGTTATTTACAGTGTGTGTTATTTTCCGAACCCTGCTTATATGTACATTACATTTATATATTAACTAATAGTAATACTAACTGATTTTATACTCTTTCTTAGTACCCCTTGCTGCCGCGCTCCCACCAACCGGGCACTCCGAGTCTGGAGCACTTGCAGCTGGACGCCTTTGCGCCAGGAAGTTACATATTTAAGAATCACAACGGTCTGTCCTCATTGCCGCCGCCTGTGAGTGCCCAGCCCACGATGCTGCTGCATGGATATACGCCGAGCCACAGCGCCGAACCGCCAGCTAGTTCGCCCTCGTACAAATCAATGCCATCCACTCCCAAGTCGGCCACGTATCTAATGAGTGCGCCACCGGAACGCGGAATGGATCATTCATCAGCGGCGGCGAGTGGAGGCGATGAGAGCGATATGGATGCCGATGGTCAGCAGTTTATACTGGCTCCTACTCCTGCCCAATTGGGACGAGCTCCACTTCAGCGGCGCAAGAATCTATGTGAGTGTTCTCTTGAAATTAAGTAATTGGTAAACAAAAATATAACGCTTATTTTTTATCCCCTCAGCGCAAAGCAAGTCGGAGAACAATGTGTCCTTCGGAGCTAATCTAGGGGCCAGCAATGGACAGCACATTAGCCGCAAGCTGCACTCGCCCACAATGATGGAGGCCTCGTCGCCGATCATAGGCCATGTGAACAGCAGCAGCCTCAGCTCTGCCCTGCCCACGCCCACATCCTCGACAACTACGCCGAACAGCGATGAGCAATTGCCTCTGACGCCGACCACTAGCAGCGCCAACAGCAATATTCAGCAGCAGCCCAAATCTCCGATGAAGGGAGCGCCTGGATCAGCGGCAGCGGCGCTCAAAAAGAAGAACGATGAGATGAACAAGTAGGAGGATTGAAAGTTATAGTTTTTATATATTTTTTTAACCAAATTTGCATCCACAGCAGTGTGCTCAAGCAGGTGGACTTTGAGAAGAAGTACAAGGCCCTGCCGCAGTTTCAGCCTGAGGATTGCCAGTCGCCCAGTGCCATCGCTGTGCCCTCTTCGCCGCGCGTCTATGGCACCAACTACCGCAAGAAGAACACGGCTCCGCCGCCAACTCAGAAGCTAAGTGAGTTTAAAAATGGCATAACCCATTTAAAGTACAAATTACAACTATTATTTTACTTCTATTTTCCAGTGTGCGATGACGACTCCATTGACGAACCAGCTTCGGCACCGCCCACAACCACCCAACGTTTCTTTGGTCCTGACTTTACCAACGAGCTAAAGGGTAAGCGTAATTAAAATATTTCAGTCTATTAAAATTTTGTTAGAAAAAGTTTCAAAGGCTTGGAATTATTTCAAGGGAAACACATTTTAGATGACTTTGAATTTATACCTTTACCTTTATTTTCAATCACCTAATAAAGACGAACGCCTTGCAGAACTGGACAGCTCTGACCAAACGGGCCGCTCGCCCAGGACGCCAAAGACACCGCTGCAGAGCGCTCGTTCGGATGCCAGCGAGAAGGGCCACCGCAAGGTGCTGGAGACGCGTCGCCACCTGGTCATGCAGCTGTTCGCCGAGCACGGTAACTTTCCCACTGCCCAGGCAACCATAGCCTTTCAGGTGAGTCATGAACAGAACAATCAATCCACAAACTAGATCAATAATGATCTTTTTCTTTTTTCCAGACCAAGCACATCGATGTCTTTCCGCGCAAGCAAGACCTGCAGCTGAAGATACGAGAGGTGCGCCAGAAGCTGCTTGGCCAGGCATCCTGCACTCCGCACTCGGCGGGTCCCAACACGCCGTCCGACTCCAACTCGTCGTCAACCACATTGAGTGCCAGTAGCGGCGGCTTGAATGTGCAGGCCACCAATGCAGCAGGTAATTAAAAGCTGTTTTTGAATGTTTATTATTTATATTCAAATTCGTATAATATGTAATATTAATTATTATTTAGGTAAAATCGTTTTTTTTTAAAGATTTAAAGCCACATTTCATTGGTTACAAATTTTATAATTTGATTTAGGCAAAACTTAATTGAGGTTTTTGTAAAAAAATTGTAACCAATCAATTGTGGCTTTAAATCATATTTAATAAAATCGATTTCACCTAAAATCCGATGTCTACTGATTTATTTCTTTAATTTGATTTGATTTTGATTTCATTTTTGTTTAAACCTTGTTTAATTTCCTTTACTGTTTCCCATATTTGTACTTAATTAATTTCCTTTACTTTTATCTTTAATTTAAATATATATTTGAGTTTAATTTTGATTTAATTTCCTTTTCTCAATGAAAACATTGTACAGATGTTTTTCAATATTACTAAACGACAGGTGGTCAACAACAACAGCACCCTGAGCAGCAGCAGCAGCAACATCCCGCCACCAAAGCCACTGAATCTGATACCAAGTACAAGTAAATTGGAGTGGACAAGGACGAGGACGAGGAGTTTGGCGGGAACAGGACACAACAACAGATTGTTTGCTGCAAGTGACAACATTACTTAAGGATAGTAAACGAATCGACAGCAACAACAATTGCAGCAACGCACACTCACAAAATTAGAAGGGAGAAACAAAAGAGCTCACACTTTAGCTACAGCTCATGCATGAGATGCATGGTTAACTAGTTTTTATTATTAACTGCTAATAGCGAGAGAAGTTACACAGAGAAAATAGAAAAAATTACAAATTTTTAATTACAATAGGCATACAAAATATTTACAAGCAAAGTAATTTGTGAGTAGAGAGGAGAAACTGATTACGAATGAATTTATTAAGCAGCTTAATAAATCAGGAGCAACCAACGCAGAGGAGAGGTAGAAATTTTGATGAAAATTTGAACTTTTGAAGCACATATGAAGTACATACATAAAAAACATAAAAAAAATACATAATGGAAACATTGTATAATCCCCGCGTAAAGGCTTAGGTTTTAATTTACTTGCGTAACTGCAAATAACAAATTGGAAGAGTTAAGAAAAACTACGGAAATAGATGTTAAGCCTTAACTTAAATTGCACATTAATTTTGAAGTGTATCAAGCACAAGCAAAGAATTGTATAAATCGAACAGTAAGAAACTTGAAATGAACACTGTAGTTGTATTGTATATTTAGTCATAACATTTTTAACGAGAACAAATCCCCAAAACACACCCACATTAACACCCACTCGCACACATCTAAATGCTTTTAAACTGTTTGCTTTTGTTCTCAAAGTTTATGCGAAAACAAACCTTTTTAAATTGTATGTACATTTCCTTGAATTGGCTTTTTACACTGTTGTCTAATTGAATTATAATTTATATATATATATTTTATTATTATTATTTTAGTATAGCCTGTTTTTAAATTGTACACACACCGAAAAATAAACTTCAAAAAGAAAATAATTGTAACAAATTTATTACAGAAGATGATTGAAAAAAAAAAAGAGAGAGAATGAGAGAACTAACTGTCTTCCACTGTTGCTGCAATATACTTTTTAATATTGTTTACCATTTCGGTTGAAATAAATTTAGTTGTAAATTAATGTTTTAAGTATGTGACTGCATTTTATTCGTATGCAAAATTCTGTTCTTTGTGAATTGTTAATTATTTAATGTTGTCGCTGATCTATGTGTTTAATTATGTGGTTTTCTAATCTTAAGTACTTTATCAAATTTTTCTTTCACTCAGTCACACTTTTTACGAATCTTTTTTGTGTTTTCCCCAAAGGAGCAACGGTTGCGAAAAATTCGTAAAATTAAAGAAAACTTACAGATATACACTCAAAATACACAAAAATAACCTAGTAATGAAAAATAAATTATAGTAACCATATTCACATTATAGTTATCACAATCATTTAAAATACGCAATAATTAAAATCATCAAATACAATATGTGAATTAAATTAAATGCCGCTTCCATTAAGTTCCATTCATGCTGGACGCTGCAATTATAGAAATTAACCAGAACAATAAAATAAAAAATCAATAAATTTGTAAAATTTAAAATCAACTCACGTAGTCGTTTATAATTTTATTAGTTTCGTGTTTAAAAATATTTTAATTATATTATAGTTTCTTTATGATGATAAGTTTTAATTACCTATTAGTTATTTGTATTAATTAGTGAACAAACGAAATTTTATATGATAAAAAGCGAATGAGCGTAAAATGTAGTGTGTTAATGTTAAAAAATACAAATAAAAAACAAAAATAAAACCAAGTTTATAAGTAAATTCGAACCAACGTGTGAACTTAATTGTGGTATAAGCCACACAGAAGATTGCTTTTTATTTCCATCAACTCCTCCCGAACTCCTCCCCCCTAGCAAGCAAACTTGTGCCAATGACAAAGCTTAACTAACAATGTTTAAATATCGAATCCCCAAAGAAGATAAGTAAACAAATGTTTGTCAATTAGGTCAAGTGAAGAGGCAAAACAAACTTTTTGACCTGTACCAAGTTCGAAAACTTATACAAACGAATAACTGATACAACAAAGAACATTTTTGGCAACCAACCATTTCGGACTAAGAAAATTAAGCACAGAAAAAGGAAAACTAGCAGGAAATACTAAACAACCTTTGGCAATTACAAGATTGAGAACAAAAAGGAAACAAACTCAGTCAGCAAACACACAACAAAAAATGGCGTTTCGGATACAAAATTCTAAAATTCAGGTATTACAAAAAAGAAAACAAAAATACAGATAGTGTTGTATAATGTTAAAGACAATTTTTGAGCAAAGTAAAAATAAAAGATGAACTATTTAGCTATTTATACAAGCGAGGCAAGTGAACAAACTTTGCGAGTACGTGTAAAATTTATTAGGTGCTTTTATAACAAAATATTTGGTAGAGAAGCGAAGGACCTCCTCCCCCACATTAATATACTAAAATATATACATCTATTTTTCTCGAAGGGCATCCACTGTATTTTAAAATGCTTTTAAATGGAGGAGATTTAGAAACGAAACCCCGAAGAGGGTTCAAAACTCTTGTAATTCAGTTGTGAGCGATTCGCACATTTTGACGATAAAGGGAGAGGTGTTTTTTATAGTTTTTAATCGAGGAGGGCATTTTAAATCGTAGCTGAACTCTCCTCAAAATATAGAGCTAAATTTATATCTACATTCATCTGAACGATGACATCTCTAGTGGCAATCGAGGTTACATTAAACACTGTTGTTTGCGGTTTGTTTAGTTAATTGTTAAACGATAAACGGAAAGCAAAATAATATTCTTAAGTCAATGATTGAACGGCACAATTCTGAAGTTACCACGCGACATTTGAGTTTAGTAGTGAAATTTCCCAATTTATTATTTGCAATTGACTTTTGAAGGCTTTGTAAAATATTAACAAAAGAATATATATATATACATACAACTTATTTGTGAAGTTAACTAATAAGCCAGTTATTGTGAAACGTATTTTGTAAGCCACGGAACACTTAAGACAAATTACGAATATTAAATTATAATATACAAATACGATCATATACAGGATAGCGTAAACCAAAACCAAATCCAGAACAGAATATTTAAATATTGAAATGTGCAAATCTTATTCGATCGTTAAGAATACGTCTGAGACAGGGGCTTTCGAAAGAAAGTATTTAATTAGTAGTATCCATCTGAAGGGAGGAAGGAGTGCGTAGCCCTTGAACCTCGAAGACAGTCACGGTCATCACCAACAATCCACATACACAAACACTCGAAACACACACATATATATGTATAAATAAATATATACGATGATAAATTTATTGAATAAAAGAAAAATATACATTCATAATTATTTGTTTATTGAACTGAACACATTTTCTTAGGTATTAATATGGAACTTAATGAAGGATATACTAATTAATTGAGATTAACAAAGTGGTTCGCTTGAGACCCCATTAAGCTGATTCCGCCACTTCTACGGGAACCTCCTGAATGATACTTCTCGCCGAGGACAGCACACTGATATCGGCGCAGTTTATAAAGGTTTCCTGGGCACCGCATCCCATGGCCCCAGTTCCATCCTCACAGACGCCCCAATTATTTCCCGCCGTGTAGGTCCAGCGCAAAACACAGTGAATGCAGTTAAGATCACTGGGAATTTTCAAGATTACCTTGATTTCGCCAGTGGCTGTGTTGATATCGTATTTCTGGCTGCCATCGGTGAAATTCAAGGGATACTGGTTGAAGCAATTTTCCGACTCGCTGCCGTTTTCATCCAGATTGCAGATGTGGAACCGGAAGTAGCCCAGATGGTTTGCCGTTATCTTGACAGTGATTTCCGCCTCCGTTAAGCCAGCGTAGCTCTGAACAATCACTCCACTGCCGTACTTTCCGCCCAGCTCATTGGGACGCGGCTGATCCAAACTCCAATCGTCGCCACAAAGTCCACAGTTTCCACCATTTTCGGTTTGTTTCTAGGGGATCAGAAACATAATTAAACACAATCACTTAGGTAGTTTTCCAGAATCAACCTTACCCAGAGGCCTCCGCAATATAAGGCATTGTCATCGTAGTTTGTTGGCGCCGAGGAATCGTAACGCCAACGCGATGATCTACCTGCTGGACTCAACATCATGCCATGGCCTTCCAATTCGCCCAGCGAGCACAAAATGCTCAGACCCACAATAAAGATCACCTCCAAGAACTGCATTTCGCTTTCACTTTCGCTTTCTTTTTGGCCTGAGACCTCCTAACGGAGGGCTTATATAGTCCATATTCCCAAAACCTTATCAGTTGCCGGGCGGTTTATGCTTGTTTTTGATTTTTCGCCAAATAACCATGAACGCTTCTAATCGCTTAATAATCTTCATTTTGTTTATGGTTATTGGTAGTTAAAATTTGGGAGAATTCGTAGTATCTGACCTGGGAATTGGCAAAACACCTATGACACATTCTATAAACAATACGACAAAAATTGGTAATTGAATCATTATAATTTCGAAGTATTGTTTATTAGCCCATTGGTGTTTAGCGCACTAACGCCAGGTTGATAAGAGTTCAATGCTTAGGAAATATTTCACGGTTAGGAAAAATTTGTTAACCAAGGTTAAAGTGCCTCAAGTACCATAGTACTCATTCAGGCACTGAAGAGCAGTACATAAATCAGCCAAAAACTCCTCCTGATGGGGTAAAAAACCAGTATCGGTTGGCCCTTCAGCTTACAAAAGATCTGTTATCATATTTGTGACGAAAATTGATTTGAACCCAATAGACATCTGAGTTGAAGAACGCGAAAATGGTATTAAATTATATTTATTTAGTTCAATTTACTATAATTTTTCGTCACAAAATATGATATCCGATCGTTTTGGATGTTGAAAATGTGAATAAGTTCGGAGACCATTTTATGCCAAAATATAATCAGGGAAATGCATAGATATAAAAGCCAATCACACATTTTGTTGCTTTTATAGCACATTATCTTATTTATTTAAACAAGCATCTCTTTATAAATAAAACTGTTGTCAACAATTTGTTTGTGTTGCGCTGCCATGATATAAATATACACCTATAATGTTTAACATACACAGTTTACAATGTTTTCCAATGTGGTATGCATATACTTTTTTAAATTTCTTCTTGGAGTTAATATATTTATTTTTTCGTTTAAAGTAAAATTACAACTACATATAGTCTTTCGCTTTCCTCGTAAATAAACATAAATAAAATATATATACTTTATATATTAACATTGAAACACGCTGTCTTTGCCGTTTTCTTCGATTTATTCTTCGTCGTCCGCTCCTTCTTTATTTTTTTTTGACACTGAAATCCTTACCAGCCCCTAAAAATTTCAGTTGGTTTTTTTTTCTTGTGTTGGATGTTTATGCAATTAGCTTGAAAATTGACTGTTCGGTATGTGTAGACATTTATCAAACATTTTATACAAGTTGCGAAAGTAATTAACATTCATAAGTAATTCATGTGTTGTTGTTGTTGTTGCTGTTGATGGTGCTCTTGTTGCTCTCCTTCTTGAGGTTTGTTCTTGTTGTTGTTATTTTCGCTGTGGTTTGTGGATATGTGTGTGGATATATTTCAGCACGCCTTAGTTTAATGTATTCATTTCGGCGGAATTGGCCAAAGGATAATCCAGTTCACCTAGGCGAGCAGCCGGTCGTCGTGGTCGATTAAACTAAAGGGAAAAAAGGAAAGTTTATTGTAAATGCATTTTCAACCATAATTCCTAAAGTCAATTTATAATTCAATTGTGGTTTTAAGATTTCAAATGAATTTTTTAAACACCAAAAGTCATAAACTGATGCATTTCATGTTAAAATTTGGTTACATTAAGAATATAGAGCACCTACCCATGATCTCATGATTTTGTAGAGCACCTGACGGGCGGGATAGTCATTAAAGTCGGCCTCGGGCGCCACCGCACCCTGTTCATTCGGCGCCATCATGGGCAGCAGGCCATTTGGACGCACGAAGTCCTGTTCCTGCCCTCCGGAGGCTGTCTCGCCCATTCCCACCACGCCCACTCCCGTTCCGGACCCGGATCCGGTGCTCAGGGAGCGCTTGCCATGACCACCGTAGCACACATGACCGTAGGCCTGGCATCCCTCTGCAAAAAGATTGAAAAGTGAATAAGTCAAGCAGAGTTTAAGGTAACTCATCAAAAGCTTTTAAAGAGTATAAATAAGGCAGCCAAAAAAATTAATATAGTAAAAATAAAATAACCATTTAATTTATGAAGTTAAAACATGTATGCTTTAAAAAAAAGAAAACAATAAATAGAAATAAATTTATTTTTGGTACATTTAATAGCAAACATTAAAAATTCTAAAGTATTCCCAAAATTATCTAGTTAACCAGCGATAAATTGGCTAAAAAGGCATTCAACAAATGAGAAATGTCACTGTTCTGGAACCTAATCGATTTTAGGAACCCCCTGCCTTTCACCTTAAGTTCTGCCGATGGGTGTGCATTTCCCAACGCACCCACCCCCAATATTTCCTACATTACTTTCAGATAGACTGCTCTGCTCCCATGGCTTTCGTTACTGCCGAAATCTTTAATCGCTAGCCAAAAGCTCAAGAGAGACATCCGGCGATAACCATTTGACCCCATGACGGTTCAGTTTCATTTTGTTTGCCTGCCTGCCTGGCTGTGTGTGAACAAACTTTTGACTTTCTGCTGTTTTTGAATTTCCGCCCACACAAGGCAAACATAAATTTTCCTGTTGCACACTTGGGAGTTGTCCTTGACATACGCAGGATTTAAATTGAGGTAGGGGAGCGGCAGGCAGGACTTGGCTAAGCTGATGAGTTTCTGTAATCTCAAGGACCTTGGTTATTTAAGGAAGCCCCATCGAGTCTGAGTGCCTCTGAATAAATAGAGTTTTTATATTTTTAATTTTTTATCAAATAAGTTTTGTTTTAATCCGTTTCAAAAATATTTTATATTTGAAAATTTATTCTAAGGTAAAATTCAAATTAAATAAATAAGTTAAAAATAAATGTTTGGCTGTTTTCTTACATTATTTAGCTATCCGTTACATCCTTGATTGCCCGCCCTACAATATTGCCCATGTAATCGCTTGGGGAGCTCTAAATAAGTTAGCCTGCCAACATCTTAAATGCCGTTTCAAAGGCAATCAAATCACAAACTTTTGGCCATAGAGAGCGAATGGGAAAACAGATGGGTTTTGGATGGAAGCGGATGTCTTGAAGTCAGAAGTCTCCTCGAGTCGCCTGACATTCACTATTAATAATTTCAAGGAAAACGATTTCGCACATGGCTCGTGTGTCTGAGATAGTTGCAACCTGCTGAGGGAAATGGAAATGGCTCCCCACTTTCCCCCATTTTCACAACGCCCTATTACGACGAACTTGTTGTTGCCATTTAACGTTTCCCACAGCTGGAAAAACAAAGACGCCACGTTTGTTTGCGTTGCATTAAACTGCAACAATTGATGCTGCCTCGATGGGCGGCGAGTGTGCGGATATCAAGCCACCCCCTTTGACACCCATTTATGGCTTTGTTTTTCGCGCTTCAATTTAATGAATATTTCATCGAAAGTTCACCTGCATATTTTCAATGTGAGAGCTTTAAGGGCAAGTGCATCAGCAAAAATATGTAGGTGATATTTAAAAAGATAACATCATAAAAAGGTTAAAAGTGTAAAATTATGTTTATAAAAAAAAGCGCAAGTGTTTTTATAAAATAAAAAAATATTTAAGAAAAAGTTCCTTTCAATTATTTTATGATATATTTAATTTAGTTATTAATTTGTTATGATTAAATGTAAAATGTATGTTATTGCTTAAAATTAATACTTAAATAATTTAAAATAAAGATATTACCCCATATTTAACAAAACAAAAAATAAACAAAATTAAATTAAATAATCGTAGTTCGCAGAAAAAAATCTTAAAAATAAATACTAAATTAGCTTTGATCTTGTTAATTAGCCAATTTGTACTCACTTTTCGCTTGGCTCTGTTGCGCGGCCAGGACCACGGTGCAGATGACGACCAGCAGCAAAGAAATGGTGGATTTCATGTTACCTGCAAGAAAGGAGCGGAGACAAAGGGATGAGCACCTGTTGAAGTCTGGCATTCTGGCGATGACATTGTGGCTTTTGGCCCTTGGGGCGCTACACTAATTAGGAAATCCGAACACAGCGCGGCGAGCGAGTTGAAATCGAATCCGATTCCTAGAGTCCACATGCAGTTAAGAAGCTAATCCTGGGCCGCAAAAACTTTTGAACTATGATTTATGTAACGCCCACGCAGCCACACAAAGACAATTAGCCTGGGCGTGTATGTGACTTGAGGGCTAAAAGGTGGAAGTTCCACAAACATTTGTTTATTACGTGCTTTGAATTTTCCAAGTGCTCATCATCTTGCGGACATCTTACCCAAGGATATTCAGGATATTCATAGATAAAAGATAAGTCATTTAATTGGTTGGGACCTGCATGAATATCCCACTAAATTCGAGTTTGTGTGTGGGCCTAGGACCGAAATTAAACCGATTAAAATTTGGCAACAGCTGATGCTCCTTCATAGCATCAATCATACGCCATGTGTTCGTAATTAAGTATTTTATTAGGTAACGAACCTGTTTTCTTAGAGAAATTTAGAGAAATTAAAAAAAAACAAGAGAGAACGCTATAGTCGGGTGCCCCGACTATCAGATACCCGTTACTCAGCTAATCCGCCGTAACTTTTTAACGAATGGTCCGATTAAAAAATTGATAAACACAATAAAACTGCATTTTTACTTTTCCAAAATATTGAAATTTTTAAAATCGTATATAAGCGATTGTGGGCGTTAGAGGGGGCGTGGCACCGTTTTGAAATAAACTTGCGCTGCGTAGGAACTCCTAGAATCTGCATGCAAAATTACAATCTTCTAGCTTTTATAGTTTCCGAGATCTCAGCGTTCATACAGACAGACAGACGGACAGACGGACAGTCGGACAGACGGACAGACAGACGGACAGACGGACATGGCTAGATCGACTCGGCTAGTGATCCTGATCAAGAATATATATACTTTATAGGGTCGGAAATGCTTCCTTCTAGCTGTTACATACTTTTGCACGAATACAATATACCCTTTTACTCTACGAGTAACGGGTATAAATACTTTAAAATATCATTCAGAATAATTCCAAAAAACGAAAACGAAACAAAAAGATCAAATATTATTAATTTTTTAAGCTTTAAATAGCTAGTGATTAAAAACAGAATTCAGTTTTAAAGAGCTTAAGATATTAAGCAAAATAACAGCTGATGATAGGAAAACACATCAATCATACGCCCCGTGAGCGTAATTTATTTTATTATTGAGAACCGAACCTGGTCGCGTGTCGCCTTTAACTGCAGCTTGAATAACTCACCTTAATCAGACTGATTAGCTGTTCTGGGTTTTGTGCACTTTATACGGCAGTTTTCTTTGTTTTTTGCTTGTTACAGGGACTATCAGTTCGAGTTAGATGGCCACTATATAATCACAGATATGTATGGTTGGGGCGGATGTTTTTGCCAATTCCCGTTTGATATGGCAATTCCACCGTCCGAATCCCTGAGCGCGATTTCACATTTTCAAGCTCCCGCCAGCGACTGAGGCCGAGCTATAGAGTCGCCGGATCTATATGCCGGCATCGAAATCTCGACCCGCTGATAAACGGCGATCTTACCCGTAATCTCCGCTCAATCCGTGTCACGCGCACTTACGCCCACACTTTTCCATTTTCCCTACCCCCAGATCTATGGACTATTTTCAGTCACTGGTCGGGCTAAATTTATGACCAGCCGATAAGTGAAAATTAATATGTAGAGCGCTACTGGCGGCAGACCAATAAAAATCAACACAATAAATGCAGGCAGGGCAGCCCACGCAGTGCGAAAACAATAACAGCATTCTCATTACACGAAAAAATATATAATAATTGTTTACCAAGGCGCAGGGTCGGCCGTGCCAGCACTCGACCCTTGGGCTTATCAATTTTCCCAGCTATTTAGTTGTGATAATAATGCCTTAATGAGCTGTTGCCTGCCACAATTCTGTCACTAATACCCGTTCAAAAAGTCGTAAATCGCTGGTTTCAAAAACTTTCCACAGGTGCTGGTGTTCCCTTTAATATTCTGATGAGCACTACAAAAAAACTAGGCTACTAATTAAATACATTTACAATTTACATTTTCAAATATTAATTTACCAAATTTTACTTTAATCTGATTACAAGTTTTTTATGCTTTGATGTTTCGTTTACTTTTAGTTACTTTAAATCTTTCTTAAATTTTATGACTTTTTTCGAATGTATAAGTATTTTGTTTAAAATTAGAATATTTTTTAAGTACACCACCGAAAGCAAAGTTCAAGAGCTGCCGATCGGTTTCCGTGTGAAATTCTCTAATCACAGGCTGATAACTCACGCAAAGACAAAAACAAACAGCTGCGAACCAGGTCATCCAATGGAAGCGTGCCTTTGGCACAAATCATTTCAAATCGGATCAGATCAGATTGTTCTCGCCGCGATAAGGAGATACAGAACAATGGGCAATAGATTAAGTACACTCAGTCAAGTGGAAGGAGACACCAGGAAAATCAAATTAAAAGCGGCCAGAAGTCGGGTCAAGAGTTTGAGCGGTTTTCCGCGGCTTAGCAAAGTCTGCAGCCAAGTTGAAAGTTGAAAACAGTAGTCTTGTGGAAAGTTAAGTTAAGAGCAGGTTAACTGGTGGATAGGCTACTTCAAAATTGTATCCTTGTGTGTATTAAATGCGATATAAATAATTTTATTTAAAAAATGTTTGTTTCCATTTTGTTGATTGCAACTTTGTCTATTTAAAGTTAAAAAAGCTTTCTATTTTTATCTGCCAAAAAATATTTTGTAGGGTTTATTTTCAAAATTATAATATTTTATATTTTTCCATTGGACATTCTTCATATTTCTCAAAAATGTTGAGTTAAAATCTTTATTATTATTTTTTTTTTAATTACATTTAAAATGTTTAACCCTGTAAGTGTAATCCATGAAAAGGGAAACCCCTAAAGTTAAAGTCGTTGCGAAGTTCTCTTTTCCAACAGCAACAAGTTGTTAGAAAATGCTCATCTGTCTGTTATCCTCCGCTTAGGATAAATCATGATTTATACAGCTGCTTGCAGGAATCTCCTGAATTTTAATATCTTTAACTTTGTCTAAGGCAAATTGGTGATTCTACAGCGATTTGAAGTTTCCTCTTTGAGCGAGGAAATCTAGCCAGCAGCGTTTAAGTGGGAGTTATTAAAAATAAATCAAAGCGGATAAGGAAGTAGCAAGGCCCCCTTCGCCATAATTATGGCTCCAAAATCTAATTTGATTCAATTAGATAAGACAAATAAACAAAAACGGGCAACATTGAAAGCGTACCGTAGGGCATTGGCAAATTAATTGACCAAGTCAAGAGGCCAACAATTAAAGTAAACAAATGTAAACGAGAATGGGCGGGTATCTTGGGATTAATTAGAATGATTAACTGATTTAGGAAGACTTAATTTTATTAAAACGTTTTAATATTTATAGTCTTCTTATAATCTTTTAGTTCTTAATATTCGATTTTTTAAACTATATTTTCTTTTGCAAAGATTTGAATTTTTGTATTCCTTTTTGGAGCCTGAAGTAATTATTTTAACCATATTTTTGGACAAAAAATTTCATGATTTTTTCGAATATTAAATCCAGTAAAAATACAGCTTTTTATTTTTAATTTTAATTTTTTTGTTTTAATTTTTCTTTACTTTCACACAAACTTCTAGCACTTTTTGGTCAACTCGGGCGGCACTTACTTGCACTTAACTGGTTGGCTACTGTCCAAAGGAAATGTCCTTGTCTTTCGTCCCGGTCGTCGACGTCCTCGTCCTTGCCAGATGGATTCGCTGGGCTGCCGCTGCTGCTGCTGTTCGATTGCAAGCCGGAGTTCTTTTGGTGCTGCGAAAGGAAAAGCGTCCAGCTTTATAGCTGCAACATTGACTCCTAGCCGTGTACGTGTATGGGTGTGTGGGTGAGTGTGCCACTGTGTGCGTGGGCCAAATGCTTAAACGGCCAATCAGAAGCGAGCAAAAAGCCGAGCGACACACGAAGCACATTTGCCTAGAAGTATGCAGCGATATTTTTGGTCGCTCGAAAATTCACTTTATGCGTGGGTGCAAAAAGTCGAGTAAAAAAGGGGGTGAAAGGGGGCGAAGTAAGGTCGCTTCGGGGGACGTCAAATTAGCAGCGCGCTCAGATTTATTTGCTCGACATCGCCGAAGCCAGCGGATATGAATGAATTCCCATCATTGGCAGTCACGAGTGGCTGCTGACGTAGTTGCCAAAATCGCCATTTGGACCCAGTGCACTCCTAACCCTCCCCAACCCCCCGTAACACCCATTTAGCCTCAGCTTAGAGGTCTGCCCAAAATCCGAACTCAGAACTTAATTACGCCTAAATCCAATTGACCAAGTCCCCAAGCGAAGGCTTTACAGATTCCCTTTGAGCTGCTCATGCATTTTAATTTTATTTATATTGGCTATCTCTTACCCAAGAAACTATAAGGGCACATCTAAGAATTTCCAGTTACCAAAAAACCTACCACTTTTAGTTTAAATAATTTCCTAAGAAAGATAAAAATGATTTGATATTTGTTTTTTTAAGTTCTGGGTTTTGAATTGATTTTTATTTATTTTATGGTACCAATAATTACTTGAAAACTTATTATATTGAGTTTGCTTAAAGCTTTTTTATTTTAAGGAGCCAAAATTAGTTATATGTACATTATAAATTAGCTATAACGTTTTAATACACCAATTTTTAACTTTATTGTGTTGACAGTGACAATTCGATTTTTAGTAATAGCCTATGTGTTTCTTAACTTTTCGCTTTCTCAGCTTTTAGTTGAAAATAAGCCTTTAACCAATTAATTTTTATTTTAATAATTATTAATATTACTGCAAATTAAAATCTATATTAGACCTTTCAGCAATAAATAAAACGATTTTTTAATGTCAGTTGCTGTTGAGTTCAGATGCAGTCAGAAATTTAAAGTTTTTCCCTGGGTCATCAAATCTCGTTTGCACATCAACAGGGCGAGCAAATTGATTCGCCAACGACTTGTTTACAACAATTGGCACCTCCACCTCCGATTCCATGTCCATCTGGTGTAATCTGTCCGCTTGAATGCGATTTAGCCTCCGTTTGGCTTTAGCCTGTTGCTACAGTGAATATCCCCTATCTCGCCCATCTCCCCCGCAGCTTATCGCTGAGCACCAAAAACAAATTAGCCGATAAGCAGCTGACGGTGCTCGAACGCCCGGCGATCAAAATATTTGACAACAAACACAGGGGCAGAGTTAGAGGCCCCGCAATCGATGACTTTGCCCAACGTTGATCATCTGTCATCTGGAAAATGCCAAATCCTTATCAGCGAACAGCATCATCTGACCGACTTTTAATTAATGGGAAACCCCATAGATAGGGAGACATACTTCCTATTAGGGGATCAAAAATGATACACCTGTGTATTTACTTTGAGTTCTTTGATTTCATTTTTTATTTAAGTGCATTTAGGATAGATCGAGTCCTTCTTACTTCTTCTTCAGGATGGAGCTGACGACGGCTGGGGCGGAGTAGGTGGTGATGGGGGTGGCGAAGGCGGGACCAGCGGCATAAGTGGCCACCGGAGCGGTATAAGCTGGAGCACTGTAGGCGGTGTAGGCAGGAGGGGCAGCAGCGTAAGTGGAGAATCTAGGAGCAGTGTAGGTGGAGTAGCCAGCGGCATAGGTGGCCACAGGAGCGGAGTAGGCCAAGGGAGCAGCAGCGGAATAGGTGGCTGCATAAGCAGGAGCTGCGGCATAAGTGGCCACTGGGGATGCGATGAGGCCAGCCTGGGCGGCGGCAATGCAGAGAGCCAAGACGATGAGGAACTTCATGTTGATTTGGTTGGTTTGGGTTGGATGTTCTGTCAGTGACTGATGCTGTTGCCAATTTCGACAACCATTTTATAGGACCGGGTTTGAGAAGACAAAATCTTAATTGGAACACAATGGTCACCGAAACTCTTTTTCTGCTGACTAACGTTCACTGAATGTTTTTCGTCTGTTACCAGCGCATGGCGTTTCAAATCGTTTACTTCATTGTCACTTAGCATTATCCCACTTGGTTTTATAGGTAGGTTTATTAGTACTTATTCTATACATAGTGTTTAAGCTTAGGTTTTAATAATTTCTTTCTCATAAATAAAATTCTAGTTATACTTTTTATTTCATAAGTAATTAATATTTAGTAAAAGTGAGGTAATAGATTAATGGTTAAATTTTTTGGAATTTTTTTATTATACCCTTGCAGAGGGTATTATGATTTCAGTCAGAAGTTTGCAACGCAGTGAAGGAGACGTTTCCGACCCCATAAAGTATATATATTCTTGATCAGCATCACTAGACGAATCGATCTAGCCATGTCCGTCTGTCCGTCCGTCTGTCCGTCTGTCCGTCTGTCCGTCTGTCCGTCTGTCCGTCTGTCCGTCTGTCCGTCCGTTTCTACGCAAACTAGTCTCTCAGTTTTGAAGCTATCGCGATGAAACTTTCCCAAAAGTCTTCTTTCTATTGCAGGTAGTATATAAGTCGGAACCAACCGGATCGGATAACTATATCTTATAGCTCCCATAGGAACGAAACGTTAAAAAAATTCTAGCTTCGGTGTTTTTTGAAATAAAACCTTCTACTCTTGGAAATATTATTTTTTAAATATTTCAGAATTTCGAAAAAAAATATTTTAAAAATCGGACGACTATATCATATAGCTGCCATAGGAACGATCGGAAAATGAATGGGAAAGTTACACAGAAATAAATTTTAGCTTTTTTGCTTTTTATTGTATTCTCTTCTACTTTAGAACATGACTCTTTTTAAATATTTCCGAATTTCAATTTTCATTTTATCAAAATCGGACGACTATATCATATAGCTGCCATAGGAACGATCGAAAAATTAATGGGAAAATAATTGGAAACAAATTATAGCTCCGTTGGTTTTTATTGTATTCTCTTATACTTTTGAATTAAATTTAACAAAAATCGGACGACTATATTATATAGCCGCAATAGCTGCAAAATCATATTAAAATAATACGAAATTTAAAATTTTTGCGATTTGTAAGTTAATAGGAACGATCTGCAAGGGTATATAAGCTTCGGCTGGCCGAAGCTAGCTTTCTTTCTTGTTTTTATTGCACTCTTTCCAGAAATATCAATAATATTTTGACAGCAACTTCAGCCAATTGATATTTAAATATGTAGGACAAAACCACAAAGTGCCCAAAGCAGAAAAGTAGCTTCCACCTATTCAGGCGAAAACTTGAAAGAATTAATCCATTTGATACGCCGCTGGTTGGCAATAATCGAGGTGCGGCTTCCGCGTTCAACGAACATTACGCACCAGAAATCTCGGTGCGGAGGCAATTGTGTTCTAATTAGGGTTTCTGAAATCGCAAACCCGTTTGGAAAAGTGGCGACAATTGTCCTATAAAATGGTTCAAACTTTGGAGCAAAATCATCAGTCACTGACAGACCAATCAACCCAAAACAACCAAATCAACATGAAGTTCCTCATCTGCTTGGCTCTCTGCATCGCCGCCGCCCAGGCTGGCCTCATCGCATCCCCGGTGGCCACTTATGCCGCAGCTCCTGCTTATGCAGCCACCTATTCCGCTGCTGCTCCCTTGGCCTACTCCGCTCCAGTGGCCACCTATGCCGCTGGCTACTCCACTTACACTGCTCCTAGATTCTCCACCTACGCTGCTGCCGTTTCTGCCTACACCGCCTACAGTGCTCCAGCTTATACCGCTCCGGTGGCCACTTATGCCGCTGGTCCCGCCTTCGCCGCCCCCATCACCACCTACTCCGCTCCGGCAGTCGTCAGCTCTTTCTTGAAGAAAAAGTAAAAATAACTTACCAGCTGTACTTGTTGATCTACCCAAGAAATGAAAAAAACACAACATTAAAAAAATAAATCATAACACTATAATCGATTTAACACTGATTTTTGTATACCTTGGGTGAACTAAACTTCCGAAGCAACCGATAATCCCGTGTTGTTAATAGTAATGCGGCCCAAAAATTTAGAATTTTAACATACTTTTCGGCGAAACAATATTCATATACGTCGCTCTTTGACTTGTTGACCCATAATTAAAATGAAAGATATTATTGCTTAGAATCAAACTAAGTTATTATCTATTCATTTCACTTAATGAAATTTAAAAAACACCATAAATAAAAATCAATTACACGTTTTTTTATAACTTTATTAAATTGTTTCATACAGATAAGCTCTTGCAAACTAATTTAATTTCTGATACACATATTCGAGCTGGATAATTGGACGGCTTGCGTTTCAATTGGCCTAAAAACAAACCAACAATGAATTCAAGAGTAAATCAAAGCATTAGGTGATGAGATTCCCGATTTGGCCAGAGGTCTGAGCTGAGTTGGAAGAGTTGTAAGAGACAGTGAAGAGTGGAGCTTAGATTGGCTTAGCAGAAGGAGCGTAGAAACCAAAGACCCAGCAGGGAGCTAAGGACGCCGCTTACGCTGGCCAAGGAAGGAGTGGAGGCTCCATTGTGCTGGTTGCAGATGCGGGGCTGCGGGGCGGATACGTATTGGCAGATGGTGCCGACGAAGTTCACCTGGGCGCGCTCATTAACCTTCTTGTCGAATTGCTGTAAATAAAAGAATAATAAATATATTTCAGGAATTAAAAAAAATTATTTGTAACTTTTTTATCTACATTTCTTAAAATACACTGTCTTAATTTAAATTTTGAAAAGGTCTTATTAGGATAGTAGTATAGCATTACAATTTTAATTAATTTTATTAAAAAAAATTTTAATTTATTTAATTTTTAATATTAATAAAGTGAATGAGGGGTATATATTTATTTGAAGGGAATTTGTTCAAAATATTTGTGGTGTTATTTAATTTTAGTGAAGGAAATAAGAATCACAAAAATATATATTTTAAAAAAATTAAAAATATTTGAAACTCAAATAAGAGCTAAGGCCCTTTTATTATTTTATTTACCAACTTATTATAATTTACTGACCTCATTGAACAAGATGGTGGGCACGCTGGTGAGTGGTTCCTTGAGTCGCTGGGTGGTTTCGCCGGCCTTCTTGAGGAGGGTGCTGCCCTCGGTGGTGTTGGCGCAGGTCTTGATGTTCTCCCAGCTGTTGATGTGGTTCTCCGAGGCGCATCGCTGGCCGGGATAGACGTTGTCCGGGAAGTTCTTGCCCGCCTTCATCAGGCAGTTGATGAAGTCGATGGTGAGCGACTCACGGGTGAACTCCACCTGGTAGGAGTTGGCCTGGATGTGCTCGATGGCGCAGGCATGCACCTTGTTGCCATAGCACTCATTCGGTCCGTGGTGGCAGGTGAAGGACGTCTCGGCGCCCTGGGTGAAGAACTGCGGAGCAAGGAGCCCAAAAAGAGCCATGCAAATGAGCCATTGTCCTGCCGACAAACGAAGGGCTAGAGGCCACTCACCTGAGACTTTCCGAACGGCACGAAGGTGAGTTCCACCACATCGCGCAGCTCTCCCTTGACCGCCGGGTAGACCTGCTCCGTAATGAACTTGGCACTGTCCGGACACAGGGACTCGTAGTAGATGGAAATGGGAACCTTAAAAATGCAACAAAGTGCGGAAAATTATAAAAATTTATTTTAAAATTAAAATGTATACTTTTTTATAATTAGTAATAATAATTTTAATTAAAGAGTAGAACTTTCGTTACTTAAAGGCGAGTAAGAGTAAGGGTAAAATTTCTCCAAAAATGTATTTTATACCTCGAAGTCTCCATAACTCTTTTTTGGGGTTTTGAAAGTTCGACATCTATATTAAAATAATATATTTTAATTTAATTTTCTATTTATCAAAATTTACGTTTAATTCGATACATATTTCAACTGCATTTTATTTTCTTTCAGTGAAATACTTGCACTCGTTTCAATTCCGATTGGGGGTGCATTTAGTAATTTGCATTTTTCGAGAGTGCAGCCAAGCCAAGGCATGCAAATCACATGCGGCTGACTGGACAGAGTCCAAATATTTTTACTCTTTGTTTATCAATTGGGGACAATTGCCACATGCTCCAATCAACAAGCCAAAATATTGTTGAACTTGAGCCGGCAAGCATATGCAAGTTATAAATAGGAGAACTGTATACATGTATTGTGTTCAGGTGTAGAATAAATCAAGAAGTGATTTAAGAATCAGATTTAATAGTAATTAAAAATCGAAATGTTTATGATTAGGTTTCTAATTTGTTAATTAATTCTTCCCATAAATTTATCACAAAGAATTTCCAATGCTCCACCCAGAAATGTAAATTTTTTGTTAATGTTGGACTCGTGACACATTTGTTTGTACATTTGCTTTGGGCATATGGCTTGATATCTTGTGTGTACTCCCTCAATTGAAAATTAATTCACAAATGGCGAAATATATAATAAAAAAATTCCCTAAGGCAGACAACCAATGCTGATCTCAGTTTTAATTCTATTATTGATCAATCGATCATACTTTTATACTAGGCTTTTGTTCCGAGCATCATTAAATGCTTTAATTTCAAAGTTACGTGCTTGTAACACAAATGTTTATTTATTAGTGATTTTTCAAACAAATGACATTCGTTTAAAGTAATTTTATGTGATTATTTTACCCTAAATTAAATCTGTGTGTCTGATAAATGTGAACAAATTGAGGGGGTTTGAACAGAAAAAATTACATTTTATTCTAATACTTATTTTCAGCTCGTGACCAAAGCTCAAATGCTTGAACAATGCCAACCAAAATAGCAGAGGAAAATAAAAAAAAAATAAAATAATAACAAATGTGTGTATATACCAGCGGTCGGCAGCGCCCTACTAAGTGAGCATAGGGTTTTGTTCCGTCGGCGCTCTGCTCCCACACGTATAACGTAGAACAGCGGTCAGCACACAAATATAAAACAAAATGTCAACGTATGTGTGTGCCGACCGCTGGTATATACGCAAATGCAAATTGCTTTTGCTGGAGTTGAAGTTATATAAAACCTAATGACACATCGCTGAAAGAACCCGCCATTCTTCTCGATCTAAACAACAACAGAAGCGGCCATAGCTGAGTAAGTAAAGATGTTTGTACCATATGTGCACAGAAAGAAATAAAGCTACTCTGGGGTGTGATAATAAATATATTTACATATATTAACAAAGTTGTGAAAGGTAAGGTATATGGCAAAACATGTACCTGAATAATGTAAAAATCTATCAGCCAGGTATTTATGGAGGAATTTTTCAAAAAATATTTTAAAAATGTTTATTTTTAAATTGCTTTATGTTTTAAAAGTAAAAATAAAAAACGGTTGATAGTAAAAAGTTATAATTTTTATATATTTAAGAAAATCAAAAATATATCAAAAAAGGTTTGAAAATCGGAATATAACAATATGGTTGCCATAGTTTAACCCCTTTTTTAAGATCACCTACAGTTATCACAAATTTGTTCTGTGTAGAATGAAGTTGCAGTGGGGCTGCCGGCTATGCTCAGCACCGGTTCCCTCTGTGAGAAATCGAAACTGGTCTCAGAACCGGTTCTTGGGCCCGAATGAAAATAACAACAGAGCAACAGGGCGCTCTGCGGGTCTTATTTATAATGTCAATTATGCTCTACGCTTTTCCACTGCGGCATTTTCCGATCCGCCTGGTGGCACAGTTCGTTAAACTCTCGAAATGCCACTTGTTGCTGCCACGAAAAGGGTGCAGCTTTTCTATGGGTTTATTTTTCCTATGTACTACCACCACTACTTAGTTTTCCAACTTAATCACGTCTTCGCCTAGATGGTAAGTCGGTATTTCGGTGCCCCTGACACGCTTTGCTGTTGTGTAATGATTTAAGTTTTGCCTACTGATTTTTTCGCTCGTCTATTTGCGGGTTGTTGTGGATTTTCCCTGAGCCGGAAACTCACCTTTGCAGCACTGTAGGCAGAGGCAATCAGGCAGCTCATCAGGAGGCACACAGCGGCTATTTTGTGACTCATTTTCAGGCTTCTTGTTCTGAGAACTCTTGAAAGTGCTTTTTTATTGTATATGTATAAGCTGCTGACCACGTAACGAGCGGCAGACGTGATGTGAGCGGTTCGGTGGCTGAGCGCGAACTGTTGTTTGGTATAGAGAGCTTGGCGTTATAGACCCAGACCCCAGCTCCCCAGCGGATTTCCAGACTGGAACGAAGGCGGCAGAGAAAGAGTCGGACCTGCCTGCACAATTTGGGCTTGGCTTCGTTCGTGTATATACACGGTAATATTCCAGAGTCACGATCGAGAGTTATTCCAGTCAGCGATAGAGTTTAAGCTTAGGCAAGAGGAAGCTCATAGCAATTGGAAGTTTTAATTGGGTTGAGTGACAGATATTTTAAATACCTATGTATTTTAACAGAACTTTATAAGCAAAGTTTTGCATTTAACTTGTTCCATTTTTAAGTGACCCTAAATACTTTTTTTTTAAGGTTGGAAAATAAGGATTAACATTTTTCATAGCTAACGACCTCAGCTAAAGATCATCGCTAATTTTCAAAATATTAATTTTTAAAGAAAATTTTAAATTTTAGAAAATGCTAATTTTTAAGTTCGTAATGCAAATCGATTGGAAACAAAATTGTTAATTTTTTTTTTTAGAATATGTCAGCCAAAATAATGAATTTAAAAGAATGAAAGTAGAATATAAGAATTTTAGGGCTAGTACTCAACACAACAAAAAGTCGTCCAAAACAAAAAACTTAATATGAAATAAGATTTCTTGACGTTTTTTTCATATGAAGTTTTTTGTTTTGGACGACTTTTTGTTGTGTTGAGTACTAGCCCTAAAATTGTTACGAAAAGTCTTTTTTTTGTAATGCTAGGGAATTTCTTTGTTGTTAGAAACTTTTCGGCACCTGGGGGAAATCAATTTTTACAAGCCGACCGGCCCCACAAAAAGTGGTCTAGAGTACATTTGCGTGAGTTTTTATAAATAATGGAATTACAGATTAACATGCACAAGTCCAGGGAGCTTTTAAATCTCTCTTCCTAATCGCGAAACCGAAATCCCTTGGCGATCAAATCTTTGCGTGCTTCCAGAATCTCATCCTGAAGTTCCTTGGCGGCCTCGGGACAATCGTTAAAAGTGAGAGTTCTATAGAGAACAGTCCAAACGGAATAGATCTGGGGGTGAGATATTATAATAGTATAATCACAATTAGTTACTTTGTTATCTATTAGCAATATTTCCGAGAACCTACGCCGAAAATCACGAGGAGCAAAAGAGGTAGAAGCTGAATATGCAGGAAGTACTTGCTAGTAAATGCCGTTTGCACAGTGCCCAAAACAATCGAAAGATAGGGCAACGCAAAGAGCGATGCGTAGAACAGCCAGCGTTGCAGGTTTGTCATATTTAATTAATTTTCAAAGATAAACAAAACTAAATCCAAAATAAAAACACGTAAACATAAAAGTGTGACCGCGGAATTATCGATAAATTATACCGACCGGCTTTAATAAATATACCAAAAATATTCCAAAGAAGGGTGTCTTCGCTGACCTAGCGGATACACACGCCTAAAATAGCAGAGACACCCTCCTTTTTGGGGTATCTCCAATTGGAATTGGAATTTCGCACCAGTCAGATTCGGACAGTTAGCATTTCAAATTGATAGACGTAGTTTAAAACTCGTTAAAACTCAGATTTATTTAAACGTTGGTGGGCGTGGTTTCTGCTGCGCCCACTGTGCATGGCGTATTGGCAAGCAGGTCAGCCGTTCGGCAGCCAATTATTTGGAACTTGACCTCGTTCTCGGGCAAAGTGCCGCCCACAAAGAGTTTCGGCTGACTGCTCAAGGCCCAGAGCTCCTCCTCTCCTTTGGAATTCCGGTTGATCTTGAGGCCCGTGACGAACTTGATCTTGTGCGGATTGTAGGCCACCACTCGCAGTTCGTCCGCCGTGTAATTGGAACTCTCCTCCTTCCACCTCACCAGGGCACCCAAACTGATGAGGCTGCAGAAGAGATTGCCCGACTCATCCATCACCTCCGATTCGCACTGGATTCCCCGGGTTCCCAGGATGCGGAAGTGATCTTCGCTGGCATTCGGCGATTTCCAGTGGGTTTCGTTGTTGATCAGGGCGAGGGACACCTTCACCTCATCGAAGGCGTTCAGCGTGTGGAAGTACAAAAAGCGTTCTGTGAAGAAAGATTATATTTTAGGAATTATTATTATTTTAAAACTCCTTTTTTTAATTGGTTTTCTCGATCTCAAAAGTGATCCAAGATCAACTAAATCTCAAATTTGAAAAAAAAAACCACTTTTGACTCAACTTTCGTTTGATTTCAATTACTATTCTTCTTAAGATATGAAAAGACTAATTCTTAAATTGAAAAAATTTATGTTAGTTGATCTTGATCTTAATTTTTTCTGGCCGTATCTTATGGGTTTTCGGGAAATACAATTTTAATCTCACCTTCCACTTCACTGGGACTCAGGCTCACTGTGAATATTCCCGCCTGCGAATTGCTGGAGCGGGCCAATCCCCCTAAAGGAGAAGGCGGCTTCATGGTCTCGTGCTCAATGCGCCAGGATCTACCCGACAAGGAGTCGAAGACGATCAGGCCATATCCCCAGGCATCAGCTATATAGGCCTTTCCACCCACACAACGATTCGGAGTCCCACTCTCCGCCAAATCAACAACCAAAGCGGTGAAGATGGATACACTGGGGGTGTAGGATTCGGGGGGAAGTGAGTGCCGCTGTATAAGTTCGTCCTTGACTAGATCAAAGGTAAGAATTTGGGAAGGACAAAGCTGCAGGGAGTTTACCTGACCAGAGTCCACCACCCAGAGTCGCCAGCATTCGTCGATCTGTAAAATGAAAAAATTGAAAAAGAAATTAAAAAAAAATACTGTGAAATAATTAAATAATATGGATTTTAAAATTTAGTTGGAAGAAAAGAACCAAAAGTAAAATTGGATTTTTTAAAGAAATGTTTATAATTATCAAAATAGTAGCAAAAACTTTCGCTTGGCTTTAAAAAAAACAAAAATGATAATATTCTGTATCTGGTCATCTCATTACGAGCGTTAATGGCATACGAACTCCTCCAAAAATATTAAATAAATTATCTTAGGCCAAATAAATATGGCAGATATTATAGAGGCCAAATATCTCTAATATTTTAAGAAAATAAGATTTACAGCACTCACATAGGTTCTGATGGCCGAGGTGATGCCCGAGCAGTTATTGGGCGGCACATGCCACTCTTCACTGGGATACGCCTCCAGCCGGGGATTCTCCACCACCGCATTGTCTTCCGCAACCACGGTGGCCAGTGTAAAGGGCGTGGCCATGCCAAGTCGCGGAATTGTTAGGAAGGTGCGATGTCTGCCCTCATCGCCGTATTCAATGTCCACATCCACCGGCAGGAAGCGATTGCCCTTGGACAGATCGTCGCCCAAACTGAGGTTCGTCCATTGGTGCAGAGTGTGCAGCTCCTTGAGGACCAACTGCTGGCCCTGAACTGCACAAAATAAAAACAAGCAGAGGGCAATCATCACAAACTAACTGAGGACACCTGCAAAGTGACAGTTCCTCGCGGTTCAAACGGTTTCCGAAGACTGAAGATGCGCAGGTAGACCCAAAAGTTCTTAGCCCTTGGTAGAAAGTACACTCAAAACAATTACTTTAGAAACCATAGTATTTTTATATGGTAAATACAGAAAAAATATCGATTTAAAATGGTTTATGGACTTTAACTCCGTCTAAACACCAAATTTTTTACGAATAATCTTATAAGTTTTCAACATTTAAAAATCCTAAATGCCAAAACTTTAAATAAATATTTTTTTAGGGGTTCCCGCCACATTACTAAAAAAAAATGTTTTAAAAATGCATATCAAATTCGAACATTTGAACATCCTAAATGCAAAAACTTTAAATAAATATTTTTTTATGGGTTCCCATAAATTAAAATATTATATTCGATATTTTGAATCCCACCACATTACTAAAAAAAATGTTTTAAAAATACATATTAAATTCGAGTTACAACTGGTCATTTATTTTGTCGAGTGTAATTGACCATCAAAATCAAAGACAAAGGTCGTGTACCTGTGGCGGCCAAGCAAACACTTTCGAATAGTCCCGAGATTTATGGATGGACATCTTTTATGACGGCTTTTAAGAGTGTTTACACAGATCTTAAGGGTCTCCGATGCTGTGGGCATCTAAAACAGCGGTCGGCACACACATACGTTGACATTTTGTTTTATATTTGTGTGAGTAATTTGCACTGGGCAGCTCATCGATGTGTGTGTGCAGACCGCTGTTCTACGTTATAGGTGTGCGAGCTGCGCGCCGGCAGAACAAAACCCTATGCTCACTTAATAGGGCGCTGCCGACCGCTGATCTAAAAGCATCCCCGCCCCTGTAGCAGGTCGTCAACATCGCATCGCAGCACCCGATAATTGATTTCCCCGTAGTCGATGGTTCCGGCAAATATCTTCTGCAGACGATCCGACAGCAGCCACAGTTCCTCCCGTCCATCTGACGGTCTCCGGATAATCTTAAGGCCACTCACGAACTGCAGGGTAACCGGATTTAGGGCTAATAGCTGGACATTTTCCCGTATATAAGGTCTTCGTATGTCCCAGCCAAAAATGCCGATGGGCTCGAGGAAGCCACAAAACCAAAATCCTTGCCGGCTAATCGCATGCGAGGCACACTGAACTCCTCTCCTGCCGAGGGTCACAAATTCCGATAAAGAGGACCCAAAACCCTTTTGCCAATTTGTGGCATTGTTTAGGATATCCAGGGGAATGGCCAGCTCCACATCGTTGGACAGGGCGTGGAAAATCAGATGGCGACGCAGTCCCAGTCCCAAAGGAGTCACCGCCAGGGCCAAAGGGCCGTCGAGCAGCTCGAAACTCTCACCGGCCACCGTGTGGGTTCCGAATTTGGCATCCGGATAGGTGAATTTGTTCTCGATGCGCCACGAACTCTGACCCACCACATCGTACACCACTATGGCCTTGCTCGTGGGATCCGCCAAGTAGGCAAAAACATCCTTGCACTGCCCACTCGGTGGTGGATCCCTAATATCCGAAAAGATATTCACAAATCTGCTCACACCCGCTTTAAAGGAAGTTGCGGGCAGCCGATAGCGATGAATCAACTGGTCGGTGGCCAGATCAAAGACCACCACTTGGGGCGCACAGTGCTGCACGAATTCAATCTCTCCACTGTCCAGGATCCACATCTGACCACAGGCATCGATGTGAACCCGATAAACGGAGGTCAGCCCATCGCAATTCGCTCCGTGGCTACTGTGCCACTGGTAACTGGGATACGCCTGGATTTCACTGCCATTTTCACGCTGCACATTCGTCACGTAGGCCAAGGAATATGGAACTCCCTGGCCAAAGCGGGGTGAGGTCACAAAGTGACGAGCTGGACCGCCATTAGCTGGGAATTTAAGTAAAAAATATATAATTAATAAGAGATCATAACAAGTAAAGAAAATTTACCACATAAATAATACAGTTTGTTTAAGGAAAAAAAATATACATTTAGTCATAAAGTAATTTTACAAATAGTAAAAAGTTATATAATTCTAACACCTACTAACAAAGTAAAGAATTTGACGAATTTATTTTTAATCATAAAAAAGCTTTAATTTTTTAACGCCTACTAACCAAGTATAGAAATGGACGGAAACAACGGTGTTATTTATAAATATCGATTAAACCAATCTATCAACAAAATAATTCGTCGTCGTAATCCTCTTTCTGTGACTCCCCGAAATATTTATATTATGCTTACGTGGGTAATAAACATCAATGTCGATGGGTATGGGACTATCCGGATTATAGCGACCATTTCGCAACACCTGCTCTCTTTCTTGTTCACTGGGAAAACCATATTGCAGGTTCTTCCATTCGAAAACTCTTGGAATGTCCTTGAAATCCGAGGGAAACTTGAAATCCGAAAAGCTTGGCTTGGGTCGATTAATGTGATATTGAGCCAGGCAAATATTTGGAAATGCGATCCACAGAATAAGAGCTAGTATAAGTCGCCTAACGAGAAAAAAATCGTTATCACAGAATGATTACACCAAATTAAGTAGTTTAAGATTTACATTTTTAGGTTTCTTTTTTGATGCTCAGTGAGTGATCCTTACTCGAGGGCTCTTGCCATTATACTAAACTACCAGACCCCAAAAAACCATACAAATTGTGAGAAAACAAAAACAAAAGTCATTTTAAGATGGTATATCTTACTTGCTCCAACTGGTTTTTAAAATGTATATTGTATCAGTTTGGTTGTTTATTTTCGCTCATTTCTCTAGAGTCTCTTCTTTTGATTTCATACTCTGGGTAAGGGTATTTCGCTTTTATAAGAACGTTGGTAAATATGAAATTATGTTTATAATTTTGTTAATATGAATTTATATCATTTAATTTATTTATTATTGTAATTTAATTTATCAAATTATTTATTTTCCATTTTATCTTTAATTCTTATTCATATAAAAAGTAGGTATGAAATTTGATATACCTTCGTTGCTAATTCAGTTTTATAAAGAACCTATTCAGCCATTAAGAGTAAAAAATCGTCATCTTGTCGAATTTAGAAGATTTATTAGACTAAGAAACAAACATAACAAACTAGAGTTCGTCAGGTACGAGAGTGTTGATTTAATGTATTGACATTGAAAATATCATGGACAAGTCATGGACTGATTTATGTCAAAGCTCTTATCACCTGTCTTGCTAACCAAGCTTATGAATATCCAAATGCCCATGATTCAGCCAGTGGGATTTTATGGTTTATTGGCCTCAACAGATGAGGGCTACAGGCGCATAGTCATTCTTCTTCACCTATCCACCTATTTAATTTAAGAAGTGAACAATTCTTGTTATCACTATGGACGGCAGTCCATGTAGTGACGAAGCGCACCAGGAGAGTGTGCGAAGGCGACTACTATTATATAGCCGCAAAATTGAAAATCGGCAGTGATAGTCCGATCGTAATGAGTAATACACCAATCGAAAGGTATTGCAAAAACTTAAAGGATTGCATACCAAGACTTTAAGAAAATCAATTGGCTTGGGAGAGAGAGCGGTGAAAGTGAAAAATTGAAAATTTCGAAATTTGGAGCTGTTGGGGCCGGTGGGGATAAATGCCCCCTCGCAATGTTTTAGTTGTATTCCTCTTGAAAATACCCGTCGAATGAGGGATCATTTGTCAAAATCCGACCCTCCGTTCAAAAGTTATAGCCAAAATAAGATTTTCTTCTTCTTCCCAAAATGAAAATTAATTTCTGTTTGTCAGTTTGTCCACTTGTCCAAAATATGTTTTTTAAGTTCTGAAAATTTGATATGACGTTCATCACATCGATATAAAAAACTTTTGTTCTACCACTTTTGGAAAAACCCGCTAGTTTAGCGGGAAAACAGCTATAAATAGCTAAAATTCGGAAAGCCGTAACTTCTATACTTCGGCACGCTAAAACAGAAAAACATTCGTGTAGATATTAAATATTTGCTAAAGCGGGCCGAACGAGTAAATTTTAGGTAGCGTACTTATTTAGTCGCATCTAAAATTATTTTTCGTCACAAAAGTTGATATCAGAACTTTTGTACGTTGAAGGTGCGATCGTCACTAGTTTTTTACCTCGTTAAGAGGTGTTTTTATTTGATTTTTAAATGTAACCGAAAATGTATATATTTTATAAGAGATATCGAAAAAAACACGTGTTAATAGGCTAACATTTTTGTTTAACTGTCATTCATTCGCCAATCTTTTTTATATTCAGGTTGTAAAAAATAAATACTGATTAATCTGATAATAGATTTAATTGCTACATTGGTTGAACAAATCTTTTACAAATATACATAAATTTTTAGATTAAAATAATAAAATACAAATATTTAAATAGATATTAAAATTTACATGAGTGATGTCAAAACCATGCTAAATGAACACATAATCGGTAATGAATAAATCATTGGGTGTTTATGGGTTTATGATCAGATTCGGCTTGCTGCCTTTTTATATGCAAACCAAAGAGGTGGGGGCGCCGACCACTAAGAATTATACCGCAAACCAGAAAAATGAAGAAATCAACTCATTAAATGTGGCAAAAAACTAGTTGGCCTGTCATTTCACGCCTCATTAATGTGGCAGTTGAGTGCAATGGTTGTGCATTTGCCGCTGACTTGTTTTAATTTGTCTAATTAATCAAAAATCATTTTGTCGATTGGGACATTCTGTCCACTTCGCTCACTAAATACAACTTTTTTTATTGGGCTTTCATAATGCTTAAACAAAGCTTTATTGTCAGGGGCTTATGGATTAAATTTAAATGAGCGCAAAGTCATAAAATGTTTATGGGTTCGATCTCGTCACTAACTTTTTCCTTTAAATATTTAAAAATAAAATTTAATGGCAAAGAGGGAATCTGTTTGCGGAATTTATATTTTATCATTTTACGATAAGTAACTAACTCAAAAAAACCCGTTTTATCATTATCATGTAAGCTAGTCTTTTACGGATGTATTGATTGATATTGAAGGAAGTGATTCTTCTGATTGACATCATACAAATAAAATATAATTGCAATCACAACTTAATAAAATATGTAGCAGATTTCCTGGTTGCTGTTTTCTAATAACAATTTAAATAAATTTTGATAAGTCTCGAGTGATCCCTATAAAGACTCGAAAATAATGCATATCCAATAACTGATATTAGAAAGTGCTTCAACTGATTGCTCCCCAAAGCGAATTCCTAATCAATTAGCCAATCCCACATGCTTGACTGCATGCAAAAATCGCCATCCAATCTGATTTAACATACAAATCTGTCCACCTTGCCCCTGTACAATTTGTTTCTTGTTTTCCCATCAATTACTGCCAGCAGCAGGCGATACTATCTAATCCCACCGACGCCTGCCGTCAACCGGTTTAAATTTAAAATTATTAATGGTATTTAAAGGCGAATATTGTGTGATGACCGAAACTGGTCGCTTAATTTGGAATTAGCGAAAAAATAATATTCTTTGCACATTTCATTTAACCTTACTCCACTTTGGCTTAAATCCAATAAACGTGCTAATATAGAAATAATCATTTTCCATATGAAGTAATATTTATAGCCAACGATGCGTGAAATGGAATATCTGCCGGAAGCCAGAGTATCACCTTGCGAATATTTAACAATCTCTAATACCCTGTTCCAGATACGTTTGGCCCGATAATGTTACCACACTAATCTGCAACAGGTGGAAGACTCGTTCCGATATTATGGCCAATGTCTTCGTTAATCAACGAAGCTGTGACACTGCCATTCAATGCATACTAATGCGAAAATAATCCACGCTAAAGTGTCGCCGCCGATCTTAACGTTTAATTAATTGGTTTGAAAGTCATAAATAGTTGGCTTTATTGGACAGCATTAATCACGCTTTGTAGCTTTCTTGCGGCAGAGGAAAAACTATTAATAATTTGGTTTGTAAGTTTAAAGTTGAATGAGGAAAATTAATAATACATGGATTTCCGGAACAAGGATATATTACATTTTGTAATATTAATAATTAATAATATGTAAAACTATCAAACATTTTTTCCTGAAGCGAAGTCTTATGCAAGCAACCTGCAGTTTAATGAAATTTATCTGGCTTCAAGGCATTTAACAATTTATTTTTATATAGTAATCACAGACTTGCACCGCGGGAGCTTTTGAAATAAGCTGTCAAAATGAAAACCTCCAATTTTAAAACCATGTGTTTAGCTTTGGCAGCCTTTTAAATAGTTAGGAAAATTTAGCCAATTTTCTAAAAAAAAAATATATAAAAAAAACCTCAAATTCAGGCCACTCTATATTAATATGCACGCGTAACTTTGTCATTAAATTAATTTATTCAATTTACATTTATAGAGATTTATTTACATTGCGTATACGCGGCGTGTGCGCAAGTTGTTTCTCACTGCTGACCCACGGATCTCGTGGCTCGCTGATAGTAGTAGCCACTATGGCGGTGGCTGTAGGCGGTGGGTGGCACCGAAACCACTCGGGTGGTGGCCGCCGGGGCAGTGGTGCCCACCAGGGTGTCCAAATAGGAGCGCTGATAGTTATCCCTGGTCGCTTTGCTTGGCGGAAAGGCCTCGCCCTGATTGAGAGCCGTAAAGGGATTGCGAGCGGCATAGTTTACGATTCCGCCCGTTTCGAACTTAAAGGGCGACTTGGTGGTGAAGGGCGTGGTCAGCGCCGGACTGGTGAAGTACGTCTGCAGGGCACTCGTCGAGGTCTGACCATGAGTATTATAAAGTCCATAGTTCAACAGACTATTGTGAGTGGGTGCCGGCGGCAGGGCAACACGATGACCCAGCAGCGAATTTCCAGCGGGCAGTTCCAGCCTCACAATACGGTTATTAAATTCATTGGGATTCAGATTCTTCAAAAAGAATCGATGGAACTTCGAGGCAATAGCATAAATAACACCAGGTTCCGATTTTGTAGTCGTTATATCGGCCACAAACTGCAATTGATCGCGATCGAAGGCCAACACCGATTGCTGATTAGTCGTCGGATTCCACGAGGCGATGGCTGTCTCACTCAGCGGACTAAAGATCAGACTGCTGTCGAATGGCGATACAGCGAGTCCAATGCCCTGAGAGCTCTTCTTGCCCACCAGCTTCACATCCAACATCTTGCCATCTGGCAAGGGACCCGCACGCAGGACATTCTTGTGAACGGAGAAGACTCTGGAAAAAAAATTAGTTTAAGAACGTTTTTCTCTACAGAATATTATTTTTACAACAATAATAGCGTTAGTAACTATTCTCTAATTTATAAAAATTAATTGTTTTGTAATGACATTGCAATTTCGATTATAATCGAAACTGGCCTTAAATATTTAACAAAGCAATAAGTTAATTGGCTATGGCCTACATTTATTTAAATATTAATCAATGACAAGCCCAACATAGCTTCAAGTTTATCGAATTAATTTAATGTTTATTAAACGTTTCTGTTTTTGTAAGGTAATGAGATATTCACACCTTACTGAAATTAAGTGATCGATTATTTAAAATCACTAAGTTTCATTTTATGTATTTTAAGAGTTTTTGGATGAATTAATTTAGGTCGTAATAAAAAAGTCTCTCCCTCCTTTGGCCTTACGTAATTTCGAAAATACTTAAGATACTATTTCTTTATAAATGACTCACCTATCCGTCGCCAAAGGCTGGAAGTAAACCACACCAGTGCGCTCATCGAAAGTCAGTCCCACCACTCCGTCCATGAGAACAAATTGATGCTCGTGGATCTCCGATTGAGCAAAGTCCGGGTCGGGATACATGGCTGGGTGGGAAACCCTCCAAGTGACGTCCTTTCCACTATCGTACACAATGATGCCTGGCTCCACGGTGTCTGTGATATAGACGAATACATCGTCGCATCCCTTGGCCGTCGTCTCATCGATCACCATGTTGGTGAATAGGGACTCTCCGCGCAGGACTTCCGGAGGAAAATCGATTCGCCGCACCACGCGATCCGTGGCCAAATCCACCACCAGGATTTTGGGCGGGCAGGTGATCTCGTAATCCTCCAGGGATCGCGAGATGCCAGCATCCAGCAGCCAAAGGCGATTGCAGGAATCGAGACGCAGGCGATAGACGGAGGTCAGGACGAGATCGCTGCAGTTGAAGTCACTGCGTCCGGTGTTGGAGAAGGACCAATCCGGATACGCGTTCAGGATGGGGGAATCCCCGAACTGGGCTTTCGAGACCCAACTTACGGTTGAGGAAACTCCCGAAAAGAGCTTCGGCGTGGCCACAAAGATCCGATCATCCGTCACGGCTAACCCGGTGATTAGAACATTTTGAGGATTATAAAAGTTAGGATCGCTGACCGGCGCCTGGGGCTCGAAATTATAGCGCAGGAGCTTCCACTGCTTGGCCACCTGCAAGCCAGGCGTAAGAGCCTGGCTAACCGGCGACCAAAGGACCACGCAAATCACTCCAACGAGGATGCGAATCATGGCAAGATGCGGCTGTAAAATAAGAAGAGAAAACAAAACCAGAATTACTTGATGTTGCAGTCGCTGCAAGACCAGAATCCAAACTGCTGCAACTCGGCTTCTGCTTGGGCTTATCTATCTTTTCTATTTCCGGACTTTAGGCCCAAACAATCGTCATGGGAGGAAATCGGAATCAGAGATTTTCCCAACATAAAAATTGCCGCTTATTGTATTTATTGGTCATTGAGAATTTAGTATGTACAAAGTAATACCTTGATTAGTGCTTAAACCTTTTAAAGCACTATGAAAAGTAAATGATGATTAAAACCCATGATAAAATTAAGTTTACATGAATTAAAATTTGAAGCTTAAAAACTATGTAAAATAAGAATTTCTAATTTATTTGCATATTTTTATTTTTTAAATATTATTTGGTTTAGTCCTTAATTTCCTTATATATATATTATCTCATTTATTTACTTTTTGCATATTTTATTGATTTTTCAAATAATATTTTCCTTAGTGTATCGACATTGGAAATCACAGGCTATAAATGAATAATCAATCAGTGAAGTACCAGAAACCCTGGTTCGTGCTACTGAATGAATTAGCTCCGAACGATTAGCAAGTCGTTTTGAGCAATTGCAGACGATGCATTTCTAATTGGTTTTAATAGATTTTTAATCTGCATACAATGCAGTAACCTATTTGATAGGATTCCCAGCCAATTCCATAGATTTAAATGGAACCAGCAAGGTAATTGCCTCAGCTGTCATATCAAAGCCCTTTCTAACTCGATGAAGGCAATGATATTTAAAGACGGTAATCCAGATTGCATGTAAATGTGACAATTCCGGTCTCGAGATGCCGGTATGCGGATTGCAGATTGCAGTCTGCAAACCGCGTTGTGGGCTTGGCGATTGTATTCAAATGAGTTCGCAATGCAGCCGGGTCAGTTCAGATTGAAGTGTCCGTATCCATCAGATACTTGCGCTTGCAACTGCGGCGTGCTATAATTTCTCACGCCAGTCGCAGTATCCCACTCGCAGTCACGATCTCAATAAGCAGTTGCGAGAGCTGCACTAAGAAAAACATATGTACAAATTTTCCTTTAATAGCCCGTTTTGCCAACCCGTTTATCAAAGCAATTTGATTATAGTTTTTTAGGTTCATTTACATAGGTGTTTGTCAGGTATGAGCTTTGATTTTAAATTATATTTTATTATAATTACAACATGGAAATTTACAAAGCACCTCTAATATAAAAAAATAAATATAAATATGTAAATACTATTTTATATTCAACACTCAAAAAAATAATTACTATTTATGACGACTGACAATTCTTAAAGAAAAAAACAATTAATATTGATTCTATCAAAATATATTATTTTATTAAAAATTTTTAATAAAAAAAAAATTCAAAAATACTAAAAAAAAAAAAACAAAAAATACAAACAAATATTATTTCCGTCTTACTTTTCCCTCTGTGTACTCACAAAACACATGCGTTTTTTAATTGCTTGGCTAACTTTTCCCCTGCACTGACACAAGGAACTGACACTTTAATTTCGGCTTACACCGGCTAGAGAGGCAAACTCAATGGTCGGCATTTGAATATTTTGGCCAATTCGCTGTGGGCAGTTGTCTCCGATTTCGCTCAAATCATATACTATTAAATGTCGGAGCCAACTCCCAGACTCGTTTGGATCTGGCAAATTGCAGGCAAACACGGCCAACGTGCTGCATGGTAACTTTCATTGGCGCGTGCCACGATAAGCAGTTAAAGATAATTGAATTTTTGTAATTTTCAGGCGAGCAACTAGCATTTGATGAATTACATAAAAAACAGAGCTTAAAGTCAAGGCTGATCTCGGCGCCACATGCGTAAAAAGAGATTTATTTTCATCGCACTTGCGCACTTTATATAACACTTGTGCAACGCCAAGCGGAAACCCGAGCAGTTTCCCAAAAAATACAAAAAATGAGAGTCAAGAAAAGAAATGAGGAGAAGAAAACTTGAGTGGTGTTTTTGTCACCAGAGTATTGGGCTCACTGGGCGGAACAAACAGCTAACAAAAAGTTTACAAGTCAGGAGTTACAAGCCGCAAAACACGAAGCCACTTGTCTTTTTATACATGTTATTATAATTTTTTTTTTTGGTTAAAGTGCGCATTTTGCTTGATAGCCATTCATGATGATGAGCTATGGCAAGCAATGAAACTTTGCTTAATTTTCGTTTAATTTTTCTATTAAACTTCGGCACGAAGTGGTTCGAAAGCGGCTGTTCAAAACAACTTGGCTGCACGAAAGAAACCTCTTTGGAAAAATAACTAAATACTATGTAGTGTTTTAATCAAATGTTTGGCTGAGTAACCTTTGGCAAATTGGTTGTTTTAGCTTTGAATCAGATTTTTTTTGTAACAAAGATAACAAAAGTTAATAATTAAACAGTTAAAAAGGTTACAATTGATGCCCTCTTGAAATTGGTTTTTTATAAACCTTTTAAAAGTATTTTTACTGTTTTAAGTGCTAAGTCAACTAAGAAAACTTATTCAATTTATTATTATAATTATTAAGTAACTACGATTACTTTGTTATACAAAAATATATCTTTATAATTCAGGTTCATAGGTCTCTGTCATAAATTGCATTGCAAAATGTAAACAATATTTTGAATTAGTTAAATAAATAATACGAAATGCCTAAGCCTCCAGAAAAAAAACAATATCCATGAAAGCTTAGGCTTAAAATAATTTTGGAACAATGGCTTAATTTAGTTTACTCCATTCATTTGAAACATAAATCTTTTCGAAGACAATTCGGTCAACAAAAGGAATTTATGCTTTGTGGGCCGGATTTAGACAGGCCATTTATTAATTGGTCCCTTTTGAGACAGACGCAGAGCAACAGTCTCTGATGCAACGAAATGTGTGTGATTCACCTCTTGGACGCCAGAGGCCAATTAAGAAAAATAACTTCAACCTAGTTGCACTAACTAGATAGTACTACACAGAGCCATTCGATCGTGTGTTGTTGCCTTATCTGAATCACAATGTTTTGCACCTTGTCGCTCAAATCGGCGAATTCTCACGCGTTCCGACATGAGACCGAAAATCCGAAAATGTTTAATTACAATTGAGTTGTACTTTAATACTTTGATCTTATTTGAATCGGCTACTTTTGGAGTTCTCATAAAACATAAAGTTGCGGCGGAGTTGAGCGGAAGGCACGTTTGCCGAAGGTTGATTAACACCTGCTTGTAAATTTCGCGTTTTTGCCAGCAGCGGAAAAGGTCGCCGTCACAGCTTCCTTAAAGCCACAAACACATACATGTCATAAATCCAGTCTAAATCAGCAGTCACGTAGAAGTGGCTGCACTTTGCGGCAGCGATCGATTTTAATTGGGCCCAAAACGTACAAAGTAAAAATCGAAAAAAATGCGTTTGCCAACAAAACATAATTAACACAGTTCCGTTCTCCGGCCACAGCGGCTTCTTTTGGCCAAAAGCCTAAAACAAACAACTCACTGACACACGCGATCTGCGAATTTGGCTAATAATTCACAATGTGCAACCGAGTACCCTTGGCTTCGGCTATTGATTAGCCAATTAAACCAAACCGATGGGCTCTATATGTTATTTTTCCATTTTCAAATTTTTATTCGAAGCAGTGAGAGTGGCATTGGCAACGCCTCACAGTTAACTAAATGCACGGCAATTTGCACTTTAACCGTTAGAAACCGCACTTCGCGACGTTTCGTTCGCGTTCGTTGCCTAAGTCTTTTGTTTTTGTGGCCAGGCCAATTTGTGCTTCATCTGGCATTAGCTTACTTTGATACACTTTCGAGTTTGCTCGATCTGGTTGTTGAGAAGTTGCTGCTTTGGTTAACTTTAAATTTATTTGGATTTTCTGTACTGATCGCGCGACACGTCTGATCGTCGTGGTTGCCGTTTTGCGACTGCGTTTCGTTTGCCAGGCGCACCGAATTTTATAAGAGTTGGCTTTTTGTCTAACGTATCAACTTGGACACCTCCTGCTGCAAGCCGCCGATTGCCGTTTGCAACTCTTATACTCGCTGGCCGGACATTCGGAGCAGCTATGTGCTTCGTGGCACATATCGCTCATACGCTCCGTTGTGCCAGCTTCCGCACATTTGCATTTGAAGTCTGCAGGTTATGGCGGCCAATTGTAGTAAGTCAGTTGTTATTTTTTGTTACTTGCAGCGGCAATTGGGGTTTCTCTCTTTACAAGTTCATTATCGCCAAGCCAATAAATAACTCATTCGATTTTATTTTCGCATTTTCGTGAATCTCAGTATTTATATCAGTGTTTATCAGCGGCTGTTTTTGTCAATGGAGAGTCCATTGTACCGCATGGTGATGAGGCGGAATTTAAGGTAAACAGACAGTTATAAATTAAATGTACTCGGCGGGCAATTAAAATACCACAACCAGTTCGAAAGGCCTGTTCTGCTTAAATGAATATTGGGTTTTATGAATATTTTGGGAATACTCAATATTGCATTTGAATTTTCAGAAATTTAAGATTTATATTACGCCTTCTGTGAACTTTAAACGGCTACCTAGTTGTTGGTAAAGACTGGATTTGGCATACCGTGTATTTTAATTTCCAGAGCCCCCACAATTGATAAGTAATTGGCCAGTCAAAATAATGATTTATATTGCGGCTTTTAAAATTATTTACATTTATTGATTTGAATATATTGCCGACACCGACTGGATTATCATCGCGTTGTCCAGCTAAGCTGTATTTAAATTGGAAAAGCCCCCTCAACTGATAAGTGATTGTCTGTCATATATTTTTATTCCGCCTTCTGTTCTGAGACCATATATTTAATTATAACTAAATTTTAATCTGTACACTTGTGCATTCGGATAGTTGTAAATGCAAGAGGACAGGTGATAGAGCTTAGCACACTAACTTGATTTCCATCGGAGTTGTCCAACTGAGCTGAACTGGAATCGAGTTTCATAATAACTGCATGCAGGAACCCATTTACATTTGACCAATATTGCAGCCAGTGAAAGCCCAAGAGTCCAAAAGAGCCGGCTCTTTGGAGGGACCAGCAACTTGTTTGCACCCAATTGAAAATGGAAAGTAAACCAAAACGGAGCGATTTGAATTTTCGGGCCTCGGTGCCCCAAATTGAAAATCTAAAAATGTTCTCTGCCGCCGATTTTCGTTTGCTGAATCGCTGGCTGAACCCAAAAAACGTGAAAAGACCCACTTAAAAGGGGTTATGCAAAAAAGGTGACTGCAGCAGCAGCCGCTATATCGAAACTGGTTTGCGGGCAGAATTAGCCAAGTTAGCATTAACTGACTCGGTTTGGTATTTGTTTGCATTGTGACACATGGATTTTGTTTACTTGCTCTCGAAATAACCAAGCAGCCAATGCGTGGATGAGTGCTGGCCGGGCTGGGGAATTATCATTCGGTGATTACTCCAATTAGCATGTGTAAATTCGACATTCACTTTGTTATTATTGGCTCTCCTTCTTAATTGGGGTGTTGTTTCGGAGAACACTTGGCCCCAGGCTAATACCAAAGTAACGATCTTAATAAACGTTTATGTAGTACCGGTTCTAAGCACGCCAGTTCAAGGCTGTGGCCAATGGCCAATGTCAGCCGATATGCCAAAGCCGGCATCCAAGTGGTACAGGTGATATAACCGAGTAATCCGAGCCGAAAGACCAGCGCGAGATGTTACGACATGTAAGCCGGGCGGAAACGTAGGTGGCCTGCGCCTATCCCGGGGCGATTCGCGGCTATCAAAACTATCACAACTATCACAGCCACATATCACAGTTTCCTTTCACAACAACGCCCTGGACCGATGCTCATTAGCCGTTTGGCTTGGCCATTTCGAAAGTAACCAATCCGCGGGGAAACAAAATCTGCGGCAGGTCTGCCGGCCATTCGCTCCATAAGTCTCGGTGACGATGAACACTTGTAGATTAATAGCCGCAACGCCTCGCGATGGCTTAAGTCCAAACACCGGGGAAAATTATGGTGTGATAATAAAGGGGTTGTTTTGGAGGATTTTTATTTCGATAAAATACACGAAATATAAGAAATTGAATTAGAGAAATATTATTAAAATGAGAGGATTCTAAAGAAAATAGGATTTTAATAATATAAATAATCTTATTTATATTAAGCAATATATAATTAATTGGGCAAAACGGAAGTACTAAGAATAGTTCCAAAACAAAAGATTTAACAAGATAGATAGTTTATAGTTTAATAGATAGTTGAAATAAATATATATATATTATAAAAAAAATATTTTAAAATTGTGCCTTTCATATAATTATTTTAATTAGTGGAAAATTTAAGATTAAAATTAAAAAGTGGTGTGTCTTTGCTTAATTATTTCTATGTTATTCCTTTAAAGGTAAACTGATTTTCAATTAGGGATATTTTTGGTCTTGAAATAAGAGATCTCTTGATTAAAGATAAATTTGTTCTCCCTGTACCGTTAGCAATAAAGGCATATCTCCTCTTATTGTGTCCATTTCGAAATTAATTTTAAATATGTTTCAAACTGAGGTTTTCTGGCTGTCCGCTGGCATTCTCCAAATGCCTTGTCATCGTCAACGTGCAATTGCTTCATTTGCGCATTCTGTGCGCACAAATGTGAGTTTAATTGAATCAATCCAAGCGGACGGAGGCGGCTCTTGTCGCCCGTTGACAGTTTCATTACCGGCTCCGTCGACGACGACAAGGTCTTGATGAATTCGGTAAACATTTTGGGCACTTAGCTGGGTTTTCGGTTTGGGTCTGGAACCTTCTAAGCGCCGGTTGGCAATCAACTAATATCGCGATCAGGCACTAATTCTAAAGCGCTTTTAATGGGCCTGCTTAAGTGCTCGCCTTTTGGTTTTCCATAAATGCAGACCATTAAACCAATTAGGCCAATGTGGCTTGAAGGCTCCACCTCCGCAGAGAAGGTGTGCCGACAGCCGGTTTCCCACAGACACTTGCAAAGCCAGAGATACAATGGGTTTTTGTATGATTTTGTGTGGCCCATACTTTCGTTTTCCGTCGATTGTGAATACCACCGGATTATCAATATCCTCCAATAGTATTCAAGCACCATACTGCGGTTGGAGAGTTATTATTACTCGACCATTTGCTCAATAAATCAGTCATGAAGTATATATGGTTAATACTTACCCATACAGACAGAGAAAAAATAAATGAGGGTCATTTGGTATTTTGCATTAATGAAATACCATATGTCAGTCAATTAATTAAAACTATTTTTGGTAATTGAATATTCAATTTTTTCTAGTTTTTTAATTAATTTGTATACACTTTCTTTTTCTGAAGCTTGTTCTTTTTTTTAAGGTGCATTTATGACCGTTTGTATTCTCTTGACGAAGGTCAGCACCATGCCAAAAGTGCTGCAACTGACTCTGAATTTGACGCCTGTGGCCAATGCGAAGTATGGCAGACTGAACTGATCCGATATACTATATAAGAATGGGGACAGAGGGGTTGAAGTGCGCTGGACATGCAAGCTGGCTTTGTTTTCAAACGTCAGACTAATAAATTGCCCGAAATGCACGCTTGTGGCATAACGAAATTCGAATACCTTTTTCAAATGAGTCACTGAAATGTTGCCATACTATAGGCATAAATATAAATTGCAGCTTAATGAGTGGGGTGTATAAATTGAAAGATAATTCTTAAATGGGTCATAATACCAGCTGGAAAGTAATATTTAAAAATAAATACTTAAATCGCAAGTCAGAATATACACCAAACATAACATGCTCTTGACTTAAAAGAGTAAAATATATATATTAAATTTATGTACTTATTCATTAATCCCCAATCTGTATTCAAAAGTAAAAAACAAGTCTTTTTCCTTTGTGCCAAGACAGAAATATGTTTTAACAAATTACCATACCGACTAGGCAAGTGATTTTTCGTTTTATTTTGCGGTACATACGCAGACATTTCAAATAATTTAATTTATTATTAATAAAATATCAGACGGGAGAGCGTAGACATAACAAAAGCGGTCACTAATTCGATTTACTCGCCTGGTAAATGCATTTGCGAATATTCCACATACTTAACATATTTTGTAGCTCATGACCACAGAGAATACGAAACTGGCTCAACTTTTACCACGAGCCATGGCGACAGAATCAAACTTGAATTACTGCCTGATTGGAAAATTATTCAATTGATTTCGTACTAAAATACATAGTTCGCCCAACAGTCTTATCTTAATTGACTCTTGACTGACTAATTGGGAGTTTAATGTTTCTGGCGATTTAATAGTTCCCACTAAGAATTGATTGTTTTTTATGTTTGTGAAGGTGTTGGCCATAAAAATGTAGCAACTTTGTGTTCGAAATTTATTGGCGACCAAGCAAACCGTGTATGGAAATTAAAAATTTTACGATTTGCGCAATGCAGACCGTAAAAAAAGTGCGTTTATGAAATATGGTGCCGGCCGAGAGAGATAAATAAAAATGAGGGCAATTTGCTGGATTCAAATCTGGTGCCCACCAACATTTTGCGATTGCATTGCATGTGGTGGTCGTGTTTTTCGTTTTTTCAGCACACGCGCTTTTTATTCAATTTGTTTCTTTTTCACATTCGATGCAATGTTATTTATGAGTCCAAAATGTCAGGCCTTGTTAATCCCGCTGCCAGCGTGTCTTTAACTTTAATGTCAACTGGGTAAGTCGCTACCCAACAATGAGAAGGAATGGTCTTAGTTTGGACAGTGTTGCCAAAATTTATCTAGCAAAATTAAATGGTTAGATTTTTAGAAAATAAGTGTTTTTAACATTTTATACTATATACTACACTTGTACTATATAGTTTAGTACTATCAGAAAGTTTTATTTAAAATAGGTTAAAAATAGGCTCCTTACTTTCTTGTAAATGAGAAATTTACTTAGATTACATTTTGTAAATATTTCCTAATAACACATTTACCAGTTTTGAATCAAATAAATATAAAATAAAAGATTTATTAACAGAAAATTATTATTTTAATTGTAAAATCGGTATCTCTGTTTATCTTGAACTTAAGAACTTTCAGTTTTTGGCTAATAAAAATATTTGTTCTATTTACCTATATTAACCAACAATATATTTAGCAACAAAATAGCTAAAATGCTAGCACTAACTTCGACTGACTGAAGTTGCAGGCAGAGCAGCATAGTATTGGCTTGGAGAGATTTCAGATAAGACTTGTCGCAATTCAATTGGAGCGTCATTTGCTTATGACGGGTCCATAAAAAACGTGGCCTAAAACAAACAAACCAGGTGGAATGGGGGGAAATATTATTCATGCCCAACAGTCACAGCCGAGGGACCAAATCAGTCCAGAGATTGAAAAATTAACATAATTGCAGTATAATAACAGAGTCGGTCCCTCGAGGGGCTGGGAGTGCGTGGCCCGCCCTCGAAGGGCGTGGCCGGTGGGCGTGGCCGGTGGGCGTGGCCTCGTCAGTCGTTTGCAGAATGTCAACACTTGAGCAACGTTTTTGGTTGGCAACCTTGCTGTTCCTCGTGAGTCAGCATTGCGGAGTCTACGGATTCGGAATCAATCTGATGAAGGTGCCAACCGAGGACAAAGGACAGGAAGCTTGCATCCTTGCTTTGCTACGGAAATATTTCGATTCCGGGGATGGACTCTCCGGCTCTGTACTTTGCATCAATCGAAACTATCAGTTGCCCAATATTCAAGAGCAGTTGCTAAGAGGCATGAACACGTTCGCAAATTATCCTTGGAGTCTTGTGATTACAAACTCCCGGGAGGGTCCTTCGTCATCAAAGTTCCTTATGAACGAGAAACCGCAGTGCTATTTTATAATTGTCGAGAGTCTAGACGATGAAGATTTGGATGAGATATTCGAGCACTGGAAGAGCATGCTGAACTGGAATCCCCTGGCCCAATTCGTGGTCTATCTGGCCAGTTTGGAGGAAACCGACGAGGAGATGACCGATCTCATGGTGGAACTTCTTCTCACCTTCATGAACAAGAAGATCTTCAATGTGAATGTTATCGGGCAGAGCGAGGAAAACGAATTCTTCTACGGAAAAACCGTGTTTCCCTATCATCCGGATAATAACTGCGGAAATCGCGTGATATCTGTTGAGTTACTAGATGCCTGTGATTATCCAGGTGAAGAAAAGGAAAATAAGAATGAAGATTCCAGCGAGGGAGAAAGCGATGGAAGTAATGAGGAAGAGACTGAAAATGAAAACAGTCAGGAAAATGGTGATGATCAAGATGGATCGGAAGGTGAGGTTCCAAGAAATAGCACGGAAAGTGAATCAAGCCCAGATAATCAGGAAAACGACAAAAGCCAAGAACAGCAACATAATGATTATGAAAATAAGAGTGAAGAAACAAATGAGAAAAGTGGGAATGAAAACTCACATGATAAAGAAGGTACTGTATCAAGTCGAGAACAAGAAAATGATGATTATGAAAATCGTATAAATAAAAGTGAAGAAGGAAAAGGAGGAAGTGATCAACAAAATTCAGATGACGCTGCAAGTCAAGAAGATAATGATAACCACGATAACGAGAACCATGAAAACATAAATAACGATGAAGAAAGCATAAATTATAACGATAACTTACAAATCCAAGAGGATTATAATGATAACTCACGGAACACAAATAATAAGATATCTTCAAAAACCAAAGAAAATTTGTTGAGGGTTATTAGAAAGGTTTCACTGAATGACTATTCTGATAATTCTCTTAGCGATAGCAATGAAAATGTATCCGATACTACAACTGAATCAAGCATCGATGATCAAACTCAAAGATCATCGGAGATTTTAAATCAAGATAAAACTTATGAGTCCGCTGAAAGTGAAAGAGGCGATGAGGAACTTGAGAACAGTTTGAGTTCCAACTCCTCAGAACCAGAGGCCACTATCGAAGAATTCTATCGCGCCAAGTTCGAGGATAAGTTCCCCCGTGATCTCAGTGGATGTCCTCTGACAGCCTCTTTTCGTCCTTGGGAACCATATATATTTCGCAACAGTGAGGATGAGCCGGTGGAGGACTACTACTATGGTCTGCAAGGGGATGGGGATGACTACAACGACACTGCGCCCAGTTACGGGGAATCGGAGGACGAGGGCTACGGTGATCCGGAAGAAGAGGGTGACAACACCATCGCAGACACTGAAACCCAGTCCAGTGGAAAGGCCAAGTTGAGTGGCATCGAGTACCAAATGGTCCAGACCATCGCAGAGCGTCTGCATGTTAACATCGAAATGCAGAACGAAAATAGCAATTTGTATCACCTTTTCCAACAGCTTATCGATGGGTGAGCATAAAATAATAATTTAGAAATTTAACAATAAATTTACATAAAAAAAAAAAAATGTTTCTTCAGGGAAATCGAGATGATAGTGGGTGGAATAGACGAAGATCCGAGCATCAGTCAGTTCGTTTCCAGTTCCATTCCTTATCACCAGGATGAACTCACTTGGTGTGTGGCGAGGGCCAAGCGAAGGCATGGTTTCTTTAACTTCGTGGCCACATTCAATGCTGATGCCGGATTCCTGATAGGCCTCTTTGTGGTCACATGTTCTCTGGTGGTTTTAGTGGCCCAACGCGTCTCTGGCTTTCGACTGCGCAATCTCAATGGATATTTCCCAATTTGCCTGAGAGTTCTTGGTATCCTGCTCAACCAGGCCATTCCAAGTCAGAATTTTCCCTTAACCTTAAGGCAACTCTTTGCGCTTTCCTTCCTGATGGGCTTCTTCTTCAGCAATACGTACCAAAGTTTTCTGATCAGCACACTCACAACTCCACGTAGTTCGTATCAGATCCAGACTTTGGAGGAGATCTACAGCAACCGGATGACCATCATGGGCACCTCCGATCATGTTAGACATCTTAACAAGGAAGGCGAGGTGAGTGTTAATTTAAATCAAATTTTGCAGAACTTTTTTGGAATATCTTCTATTAATTTCCATTTTCAGATCTTCAAATATATACGAGAAAAGTTCCAGATGTGCTATAATCTAGTGGATTGCCTCAATGATGCCGCTCAAAACGAACACATCGCAGTGGCTGTTTCTAGACAACACTCCTTTTACAATCCGCGAATCCAAAGGGATCGTCTTTTCTGCTTCGATCGACGAGAATCGCTGTATGTTTATCTAGTGACCATGCTGCTACCGAAGAAATATCATTTGCTGCACCAGATAAACCCGGTGATTCAACACATCATCGAATCGGGTCACATGCAAAAGTGGGCTCGTGATCTGGACATGCGACGCATGATCCACGAGGAGATTACAAGGGTTCGCGAGGATCCCTTCAAGGCTCTCACTTTTGATCAGTTTCGAGGAGCTATTGCCTTTTCTGGAGGTCTTTTGATGGTGGCCAGTTGCGTTTTTGCCATAGAGTTGTGCTACGTTAAATGGTTCTTTCGATCCAAAAGGAGAAGGATGCCAAGAAAGCCACGTAAACAACCATAGTTACACAAAATTATATAATATTTATGATTTTTGAAACTATTTATATAAAAAGTATACATTTTTTAGACCAATTTTTAAGTTTATCTCTTTCAAAAGTGTTAAAAATACAGAATTTGATGTCATTTCTGCCAGAAAGTATGCCACCATTTTTATAGCCCGTGAGATTGTTTTCTTATTGATCTAATATCTTACTAGTCTTATAGATATTTAAAATAACCCTATTGTGGTTTCTGATAGTGCGAATACTTGATTTTTAGTACCTATTGCTTCGATTTATTGATCAACCATACGCCCTGTGGAACCGAACATGTGCATTGAATTAAAGGCATTAAATACAAATTAAATATTAAAAATGTCAAAATATTGCTAGAAGAGATTCATAAATATATGCTTATATATTAATACTTTCTTGGCACAATATTCAATTTAAAAATACAGTATTGCAATACACCGTGGAATGCAGTCTGCTTTGCTGCTGCACAGAGAGAAATGTTAAAAAATTTTCAATGAAATATATATTTGAAAAAATCAATAAAATATGATGGATCTTATTTTTAGGGGCCCTCTTTAATTGAAAACGTGTCCACATAAAGACACCTCATATTGTTGAGCGAGGTCTTTTGTAAAGGCTTTTTGTTTTTAAAAAAATGCATAATATTTTTCTCCGTGATCGGTACTCATATCCGTAGAAATACCCGATGCGGCTGGTTGTCAAAAAAGCGAACAAGCGCGCACGCCGCCAACGTCAAGCTGTCGTCGCATTCTAGCATTCTGCTCCGTTGCTTGGCGCATCCTTAAAAGGTGGTGGCCCAATGTTCCGACCTGGTCTGTTCACCGCTTTTTTGTTCTGTCCTGGCTGGTGCCTCCGCTTCTGACGGCTCTGCCCCAACCAAATCTCGTATATGTGGCTTTCACAGATTTTTATAAATAATATTTTCAGGCAGCACATTTGTTGCAGTATCATCAAATTGGCAGATTTGTGTTGTTGCTGGCCAACACAATTCAATCAGCTGCTAGCCAGCTAATGTGGGCCGAAAATTTCGACAAAAAAACACACAAAAAATAATACACAGGCGTCAACATATGTATATTCAGGCGTATTTTTATATTAATGCTGACCAACTAAGCGTCGTCGTGGCAGACCGAATGAATGGCGCCCAACAAGGCGTTGTGAAAATGTTTGCCGATTACTCAGCTGATAGTGGGAAATGGAATAGAGTGAATGAACGGGGAAATTCTATATTTGTTATGGACTACTCCATAATACCTTGGGGACAAGGACACTTAGTTTAATACTCATTAAAATCTTATATTGAGACAAACATTCACCTTATTTACTAACAGGGTACAAAAACAGCCCTATTAAGAAATTCCACTTCCTCACCTGCGATAACTGGCCAATCGCATATTTATCTAAATTTAAATATAAGAATTTCGTGAGTTCTTTATTAAAAATAGAATTCCATACTCTAGATACGTTTCTGCGCGTAAGCGTCAAAGAATCTCTTGCAAAAACGTGAGAGCGCACGGTTTTCATTTTATTTATTTTTGCTTTTCCCTTCGATTTCCATCTCACACACAGTTTTCCCCACCCACACTCGCACACTCGAGAAAAGCTGAGAGAATATGTAGTGTAAACAACAAACGCATTTTCCTTTTTGTTATTATTTTTGAAAATTCCCATAGCACCATATAAGTCAATTAAGAGTTCTGATCATTAACCGAATGGATTTTAATGGTCTCGTTTGTGATTAATGAGAGTGTGCCGTCAGGAAAACAACAAAACAAAAACGAAAAATCGAAAAGAAATGTTAATGAGCAAATAAGTTGGGGCACTTTTAATTAATTTCAGTTTTGCCAAGCAAAAAATCTGGCAAATCTATAAATGCAATGTGCGCTCTATTAACAATTTTCGGTTTGCGTTTATGGCTTTTGGGTCCCTAACCAGCTAGCAACCCACCAACCCACCCACCCAGCAAATCAGCCCACACCACACCCACCAAATTATGGCCGAGAGAAAATGCGGCGATATATAACTTTTGGTTTTGTTTTGAAATTCTTATTTCTAATTGCGAGTGCGTTCTCATCATCGCTGAGAGATTTCCATCGCAACCATGTATGGATTGGGCCAACGTGCAAATGTTGATTAAAAATTAGACAAAACAAAAAACGAACACGGCACCCATACAGTGGCAGATACATCCGCAGCTGCAGACACAGAGATACAGATACAAAATCAGATGGAGAGCAAATACTACGCCTACGATTGGGATGCTCCGATCCGGAGGATCTTCACGGGTGTGTGTTGTGTGTGACTGTGGGTGAGCCATCGCGATGTTGTTTACCAAGGCGCTCAGCACCGTCTGTTTCTCTGTTTCCCAGACGATACACTGAGAGAAATCGTGGGAAAATATAGTAATAATTTGTAGGATGTAATGTGTGAACTAAACTCAGTTTTTCCTTAGGCACATTTCTTGTTTGATTCCTATAAACTTGGTCTATCTTTCAATTGTTCTTAATTAATAAATATACTAAAATGCAAGAGCTAAATAGTTTCTAATTTTTTAAAATTATATTCCATATTGGTAATAATTTCTAATTATAATAGTTACTTGAAATATAAACATAAGGAAAAAGCTAATATTATACAATTAATTTTTTTCTGCCTGTCAAAAATATAAATAAAATATTTTTAAATATTTGTCAATAATAGCCCCATTTTTCAACAAACAAAATGCAATTTAGATACATTTCTCTTCCAGTGCACCATCTCGGAAATTATGAACGAAGCGAGCAGAAGTCCAAAAACAAAAATCCAAAGCAAACAAATTATTTTTAAAAGAAATTCAGATTTTTCCCCCCTCGGCGCAATGTGCATCCATGTGCTGCATGTACACATGTGTGCGGAGGGGCGATTGAGTGTGCGTGCGGAAAATATCTAAACCGACTGAGGGTCGCCTGAATGGTATAAATATTAGCGCATCTCGGTCCAGCGACCACTCGCAGTTCTACAGCGAAAGTGTTGATTTGGATTTCTAGTTTTTCTTCGTCTAACGGTTAGTATCCACATCCACCAAGTCCGTCTGTCTGATAGACTTTTATCCAAACGTTGCTGATTTGTGTGTACAGTGCCCGACTATCCTAAAACTAAGAATTTCGAAAGGATAGAAATTAAAAACCCAGGATCTTCTTAAAAGAAAAGGAATTTTACAGTGTTTAGTGAATACATTTTTAAAGGAAACTTAAAAAAAAACTAAATCATCAAAATTCAAATCCTGCTAAAAC